CCGGAGACTCAGGGCGGCTTACAATGCGTTAAGCAATAGTCTTCATACTTTGTATATACCTGCTAGTAGGGCTTTTGGCCCCCCCTAAGCGATGTTCTTTTTTTATACAAAGTCAGCTTATTGCCCCCCAAATCCGGGTCCTCATTTTACCTACCTCAGAAGGATGGAAGGCTGAGTCAACCTTGAGCCCGCTGAGATTTGAACTTGCAGTAATTGCAGGCAGCTGGCAGCTAAGTGCTACTTATAGCACTTTAGTCCGCTGCGCCACAAGGCTCAATAGTTCTACGTTGCATTAACAGAGGGATAGAATTAAGATCACAAGTGGAAGTGTTAATACCACTTTATAACGCCCTGGTAAGGTCACACTTGGAATATTGCATCCAGTTTTGGTCACCACAATGTAAAAAAAAGATTGAGACTCTAGAAAGAGTGCAGAGAAGAGCAACAAAGATGATTAGGGGACTGGAGCCTAAAACATATGAAGAACAGTTGCAGGAACTGGGTACGTCTAGTTTAATGAAAAGAAGGACTGGGACATGATAGCAGTCTTCCAATATCTAAGGGCTTCCACAAGGAAGAGAGAGGATGTGTGTCAACCTATTCTCCAAAGGACAAGAAACAATGGGTGAAAACTAATCAAGGAGAGAAGCAACTTAGAACTAAGGAAACAATTCCTGATAATGAGAACAATTAACCAGTGGGAAACTTGCCTCCAGAAGTTGTAAATGCTCCAACACTGGAGGTTTTTAAGAAGAGATTTGACAACCATTTGTCTGAAATGATATAGGGTTCCTGCCTACATGGGGGGTTTGGATTAGAAGACCTCCAAGGTCTCTTCCAACTTATTCACCAGGAAGGTGTGATGAAACAAGAATGTCCTCCAGATTCTTCTCTCTACCACAGGGGTCTCCAACCTTGGCAACTTTAAAACTTGTGGACTTCAACTTTGAAAGTTCCTCAGCCAGCAAAACTGGCTGAGCAACTCTAGGAGTTTAAGTCTACAATTTAATTTAATTTAATTTAATTTAATTTAATTTAATTTATTGTGTTTCTATGCAGCCCATCTCTCAAGGGACTCTGGGAGGCTTACAGCAAAAATAATGCGAACAATGAACATAGAAAAATTATTAAAAAACTTTATAAAAACATTTAAAAACATTAAAAGCCCATGCATGTCATTCATGGCCGGATCTCGCAAAATTGCAACAGTGAGATAAACGGCCCCAGGCCTGCTGGAAAAGCCAGGTCTTCACCGCTTTCCGGAAGGCCAATACGGTGGAGGCGGTCCAGACTTCAGGAGGTAACTGGTTCCAGAGAACTGGGGCAGCCACAGAGAAGGCCCTTCCCCCGTGGGCCCGCCAGCCGGCATTGTTTAGGTGACGGGACCTGGAGGAGACCAACTCTGTGCGATCTTACCGGTCGCTGGGAGCTATGCGGTAGAAGGCGGTCTCGAAGATAGCCTGGCCCTGAGCCATGTAGGGCTTTAAAGGTAATAACCAACATCTTGAATTGTGACCGGAGACCAATAGGGAGCCAGTGCAGCTCGCGAGAATTGGTGTAATGCGGGTGTACCTAGGTGCACCCACAACAGCTCGCGCAGCTGCATTCTGGACCAACACTATAGTCTCCGAACACTCTTCAAGGGTAGCCCCATGTAGAGCGCGTTGCAATAATCTAACCGTGAAGTGACAAGGGCATGAGTGACTGTGAGGAGAGCCTCCTGATCCAAGTAGGGTCGCAATTGGTCGCAACCAGACGAGCCTGTGCAAAGGTCCCCCTAGCTACAGCTGCCAGATGTTGCTCTAATCTCAGCTGTGAGTCTAGGAGGACACCCAAATTGCGAGCCCGTTCTGAGGGGGACAATTTCTCCCCCCCAGAACCAAGGATGGACAGTTGACATAGTCTTTAGGAGGCAATACCCAAGTCTTCAAGTTGCCAAGGTTGGAGACCCCTGCTCTAGCATATCTATCTATGGGCTGAAACACTGCTGACGTTCCTCGGTTGAACATGTCTACTCTGTCCAGTTTGCCAGGTTCACAGATAGGAGACCCATGATACGCTCAAAGAACCACTCCTTCCTAGAAACCGTGGATTGTAAATCACCCTGAATTCAATATGTTGAATTCCATTCGGTGTTGCACCGGATTGCAGCACAACATTTGCAAGAATTCACATAAATTAAGCTCTGCAACTTTTTGGATCATTCCATAAGAAAGTCTGGAATGATGAGCTGCGTGTGGGAGGGAAAGGACAGTGGGAAAGAGTAGCTAGTTGAACGAGGAAATAATTGAACCTGGTCCCTCTAGGCTTGGCGCCAGCTCCCTTATGCCTCCAGTCCCATGATTAAGCTGCTTTGCAAACAGCAGAAAGATACTTCTGGAAAAGAGGAGGCGTCAGTTTCTCTCCTGGATTATGGGAATTTGTAATGCGGACAACATGAGGCAAGCAGTGGTGGGATTCAATTTTTTTACTACCGATTCTGCAGACAAGGCACCATAATTTAACACCAGCTGTCTGCAATTAAAGTAAGTTCGAATCTCACCCGGCTCAAGGTTGACTCAGCCTTCCATCCTTTCTAAGGTAGGTAAATTGAGGACCCAGTTTGTGGGGGCAATAAGCTGACTTTGTATAAATATACAAAAGTATGAAGGCTATTGCTTAACGCATTGTAAGACGCCCTGAGTCTTCGAGAAGGGCGGCATATAAATCAAATAAAAAAAATAAAAAAATATGGCAACCAGATTTGTATCGGGTTTTTCAAAGATCTTTATGGTTTCATAAAGGCCACAAGAACATCAGGGCCAAAGAAAGAAAGAATCTGTATTGCTTTATAATATTTATGGAGTCTCAAAAGCACTTTTTCTGCTTTTTTCTTATCCCCAGTTGGAAATTTCACTGAAAAGTCCACTTACCAAAGATGTACGACATAGAATTCATGTTCCTTCCCTCTAGGATTTTCTCAGATAGCCGGTGGGCTGATGCAGTTCAATATCACCATCCTGGAATGCAAAAATGCATCTTCTTCTGAGCCTGATCATCAGTGACAGTTGGGAAGAGCTGAACCTTTTCTGCAATTATTGGAAAATTTGTTTTTTTAAAAAAATGGGAAAGTTGGAGATTTAATAGTGAGGTAAGTAGAGATTGGAATCAAAAATGCTTGTGATTCTTACATGAGTCAGTTGTGAAAAGCTGGAAATTTGGGCAAAAATGTTGAACTATCATGCTTTGAGATCACAGCTCAATAAAATTGGTGTTTTCAACCTTCAAAGTCCACAGAATCATCATAAAAATAAATAGCTATGACAAAGGAATCTGCATTCAGTATATTTTTATTTAGAATTTATATAAACAAAGGCGTTCTGAATAAAATAGCTCTTTCTGATCATTTAAGAAATGATTGTTGTATGCATTTTCACCTGGAATCTTTCTCACTGAGTTCTACAATGTCCTTTTGCCTGAAAGTTTATAGATTACTAATTCATTCATCTTATAACCTTTCACAGTATTCCCATAATCATGCCATGAAAACTTGGATGTTTGGCAACTGGCATGTATTTACAATGGTTGCAGCATCCTGACTCATGTCATCATGACCTGAGACTTTCCTGGCCAGTCACCACAGGCAATCGATAGCGAAAACTGGATTCGCTGAGTGACCGTGTGATTCCTGTTAACAACCACAGTCATCTGCTGAACACCCATGACAGGAAAGGTTATAAAATCAGACATGTTTTTATACTGTAGAACCCAAAATCACTGTTGATGACACCCATGTCAACAGCTTCAAATACTTTGGAAACATCATGATGGGTTTTTGGACAGAGAAATTGATTCCAGGATCACCAAGTTCAGCCACGTGCTGGGCTCTCTGTGTACTCTGCCTCACTAGCTGCTCTATGGCAGGGGTGTCAAACTCGATTTCATTGAGTGGCTACATCAAGGTGGTGTTTGACCTTGGGGGGCAGGTGGGTGTGGCCAGGATGGGCATGGCTGGCCAGCTCGACGTCACTCATGTCGGGGGCACCTGTGGTAGCCCAAGGGCTCTGCCAGTGAAACCCTAGCTCAGGAGGAGATTTTTCTTAAGCAAGACAAGAAAGTTTTGAATGTGACAGTGTAATCAACCAATATCATGCTAAATATCATGGCATAAAAACAAACCTCACCGTTGTAAATAACAGCTGTGATGTTTTCGGCTGCGATGGCCTCCTGCAACCTGCCGCCAGTGAGATCTGACTTCAGATCCAGCCCAAACCCTCCTCATTCCAATTAATACGAAGCATTATTTATTTATTGGTTCGATTTATATGCCGCCCTTCTCCGGAGACTCAGGGTGGCTTACAATGCATTAAGCAATAGCCTTCATACTTTTGTATATACCTGCCCCCAAGCGGTGTTCTTTTTTATACAAAGTCAGTTTATTGCCCCCATAATCCGGGTCCTCATTTTACCTACCTCAAAAGGATGGAAGGCTGAGTCAACCTTGAGCCTGGTGAGATTTGAACTTGCAGTAATTGCAGGCAGCTGGTGCTAGTTAACAGCACTTTAGTCTGCTGTGCTACCAAGGCTCTATTGCGTTGTTGCAATATTTGTAAATATTCCAAAACCTATCTAAGAATACTGTAGTTAAGGAAAGCTTAGGCCACTGACTGCAAGCACTTTGGGCTCAGCGTGTCAAAAACTCAGGAAATGTCCAATTTGACTCTGCTACCCAGGAGACCGCGAGTTCTAGTCTCACTTTAAACACCATGCCAGTTCCTTTCTCTCAGCCCTGAGGAGGCGATGGCAAACTATTTCTGGAAATGCTGCCAAGAAAAACCACAATAACCTATCCAAGCCATTGCCAAAAAAAATAAAAATAAAGCTACCAAGCCATTGGAACCTATACGGAGACATGAACCAACAACCAACATGTCCTACCATCCTATCCATTCCATTTCTCATTCTTGAGCAAAAAGATAATGCTCGAATCCAGGGGTCAGCAACCTGCGGCTCCGGAGCCCCATGCGGCTCTTTGGGCCCTCTGCTGTGGCTCCCTGTCAGGTGATCCCACCACTGGCTGGCCCCACCCCTCGCCCTCCCCTCCCAGTCACTCCTCACCTGGCCTGAGAAGGTAAGAGCGACAGTGGAGAAGTGGCCAGGGCAGAGACAGAGAGATACAGAGAGAGAGAGAGGTAGGAGGGAGGGAGGGAGGGAGAGGGAGGGAGGGAGAGGAGAGAGAGATATGTCAAAAGGATTTTGTGGTTCCCGGTGTTTTTTAAACAACTGGTTCTCTGCCCTAATGACCGGCTGGGTAGACGTGGCTGTGGGGAGGGGGTTATGTGACTGGTAGAAGTGAATGACATTGAGTTGGGCAGGTTTTGTGGCTCCCGGTGTTTTCTTTTCTGTGGGAAACGGGTCCAAATGGCTCTCTGAGTATTTAAGGTTGCAGACCCCTGCTCTAATCCATGTGAGATTTGGCTGTCATTGATATCTGATAACCAGTGGAACCACTTGCCTCCAGAAGTTGTGAATTCTCCAACATTGGAAGTTTTTAAGAAGAGATTGGACAACCATTTGCCTGAAATGTTATAGGATTTCATGCTTGAGCAGGGGGCTGGACTAGAAGACCTCCAAGGTCCCTTCCAACTCTATTCTTCTATTCTCCCAGTCAACCTCCTCTTCAACACATATTCTCCAGTAATCATAGCACACCTGGAGAACTTTTGCCTTGAAATTTCCAAACATTATTTTCCAGAAATTTTCAAAAATTCTTCCTTCTTTTCTTTTCCCGAGCAGCTGATCTCTAAAATACAGGTTTCAATTCTTAGGATTTTCAGCAATGTCCATGTTGACGGGGGAATTCTGGGAATTATAGTCCATGGGCATCCTTGAAAAAAAATGTTGCAAAGGGGTATTTTTCTTTTTTTTATTTGATTTATATGCCGCCCTTCTCCGGAGACTCAGGGCGGCTTACAATGCGTTAAGCAATAGCCTTCATACTTTCGTATATTTTATACAAAGTCAGCTTATTGCCCCCACAAACTGGGTCCTCAATTTACCTACCTTAGAAAGGATGGAAGGCTGAGTCAACCTTGAGCCGGTGAGATTCGAACTTACTTTAATTGCAGACAGCTGGTGTTAAATTACGGTGCCTTGTCTGCAGAATCAGTAGTAAAAAAAATTGAATCCCACCACTGCTTGCCTCATGTTGTCCGCATTACAAATTCCCATAATCCAGGAGAGAAACTGACGCCTCCTCTTTTCCAGAAGTATCTTTCTGCTGTTTGCAAAGCAGCTTAATCATGGGACTGGAGGCATAAGGGAGCTGGCGCCAAGCCTAGAGGGACCAGGTTCAATTATTTCCTCATTCAACTAGCTACTCTTTCCCACTGTCCTTTCCCTCCCACACGCAGCTCATCATTCCGGACTTTCTTATGGAATGGTCCAAAAAGTTGCAGAGCTTAATTTATGTGAATTCTTGCAAATGTTGTGCTGCAATCCGGTGCAACACGAATGGAATTCAACAGTATTGAATTCAGGGTGATTTACAATCCACGGTTTCTAGGAAGGAGTGGTTCTTTGAGCGTATCATGGGTCGTCTATCTGTGAACCTGGCAAACTGGCCCAGCTGGACAGAGTAGACGTGTTCAACCGAGGAACGTCAGCAGTGTTTCAGCCCATAGATAGATATGCTAGAGCAGGGGTCTCCAACCTTGGCAACTTGAAGACTTGGGTATTGCCTCCTAAAGACTATGTCAACTGTCCATCCTTGGTTCTGGGGGGGAGAAATTGTCCCCCTCAGAACGGGCTCGCAATTTGGGTGTCCTCCTAGACTCACAGCTGAGATTAGAGCAACATCTGGCAGCTGTAGCTAGGGGGACCTTTGCACAGGCTCGTCTGGTTGCGACCAATTGCGACCCTACTTGGATCAGGAGGCTCTCCTCACAGTCACTCATGCCCTTGTCACTTCACGGTTAAATTATTGCAACACGCTCTACATGGGGCTACCCTTGAAGAGTGTTCGGAGACTACAGTTGGTCCAGAATGCAGCTGCGCGAGCTGTTGTGGGTGCACCTAGGTACACCCACATTACACCAATTCTCCATGAGCTGCACTGGCTCCCTATTGGTCTCCGGTCACAATTCAAGGTGTTGGTTATTACCTTTAAAGCCCTACATGGCTCAGGGCCAGGCTATCTTCGAGACCGCCTTCTGCCGCATAGCTCCCTGCGACCAGTAAGATCCCACAGAGTTGGTCTCCTCCAGGTCCCGTCACCTAAACAATGCCGCTGGCGGGCCCGCGGGGGAAGGGGCTTCTCTGTGGCTGCTCCAGCTCTCTGGAACCAGTTACCTCCTGAAGTCTGGACTGCCTCCACCCTATTGGCCTTCCGGAAAGCGGCTTTTCCGGCAGGCCTGGGGCCGTTTATCTCACTGTTGCAATCTTGCGAGATCCGGCCATGAATGACGTGCATGGGCTTTTAATGTTTTTAAAATGTTTTTATAATGTTTTTAAATAATTTTTCTACGTTCATTGTTCGCATTATTTTTGCTGTAAGCCGCCCAGAGTCCCTTGAGAGTTGGGCGGCATAGAAATGCGATAAATTAAATTAAATTAAATTAAATTAAATTAAATTAAATTGTGGACTTAAACTCCTAGAGTTTCAACTCTCAAAGTTGAAGTCCACAAGTTTTAAAGTTGCCAAGGTTGGAGACCCCTGTGGTAGAGAGAAGAATCTGGAGGACATTCTTGTTTCATCACACCTTCCTGGTGAATAAGTTGGAAGAGACCTTGGAGGTCTTCTAATCCAAACCCCCCATGTAGGCAGGAAACCATTTCAGACAAATGGTTGTCAAATCTCTTCTTAAAAACCTCCAGTGTTGGAGCATTTACAACTTCTGGAGGCAAGTTTCCCACTGGTTAATTGTTCTCATTATCAGAACCTTGAGCCTGGTGAGATTTGAACTTGCAGTAATTGCAGGCAGCTGATGTTAATAACAGTGCTTTAGTCTGCTGCGCTACCAGGGCTCTTATTAACTGCTTGATAATGTTTCTCCAGAAAGATAATCTTCCTTTATTTAAAAAAAAAGGTGGGAGCGGGGATGGAGGAAGAGAAGGGGGGAGGGAGAGGAAGGAAGGAAGGAAGGAAATGTCTGCTCACAAGCTATTATGGTGCTACTTATGGTAAAACACTGGTCCTCATTGCCAACGCAGATTACAGTTTGATTGGCTTCACAAGAATCCTCATCTAGTGCAAAGCACCCTGGGCACTGTAACCCATTTGGTTGAAGTTCATCATGATTTTCCACTGGAGGAAGCAAATATTCCAGTTAGCAAAGTTTCATGATAACCACTAACCCTTTTAATGTCTATCACAGCCTCACAGCCAATTTGATTGATAGAGGTCAAAATATGGATGAACATCAGGGGGTTGGACTAGATGACCTCCAAGGTCCCTTCCGACTCTGTTACTGTTATCTTTATCACGCAAGACAGCTTTTTTTGAATAACTCCCCCTTGCCCGCCTACTTTGATTGATTTCGTCTCAAACTGGGAGACAAATCCCCAGGGTAGAGCTCTTTCATAAATATAGGCATTGAAAAGCACTATGAAGCAGTATATAAGCCTAGGTGCTACTCAGGGGTGGGTTCTAATTTTTTTTACTACCGGTTCTGTGGGCGTGGCTTATTTTGTGGGTGTGGCTTGGAGGTCATGTGACTAGGTGAGCGTGGCTAGCTGGTCAGAGCCATTTCTGGAAGGTCCTCGCACTTACGACCGACTCATTTGTTTGCTTTTAACACTGATCAGCTGTAGGACGGCCCTTTGACTTCACCTGATCCAGGATTTTCAACTTGAAGGCATGAACTTGACAAGAAATGTCACAGACCTAACAGAGAACGCACTGTGATTTTTTTCCATTTGTTTGATGTCCCATCAAGTACACAGTCCAGGACTGTTATCCCTTTAGGGGAAAAGAGATAAACCACAGATCCCTAGACTTTCATCTTTGTGGAGATATGGATGTTGTGTTGATTGAACACTCTTGTACACAGAGAGCCCAGCACGTGGCTGAACTTGCTGAACCTGGAATCAATTTCTCTGTCCAAAAACCCATCATGATGTTTCCAAAGTATTTGAAGCTGTTGACATGGGTGTTATCAACAGTGATTTTGGGTTCCACAGGGTTGATATTTGACATGGGCTGCTAAAGTGCTTCAGTCTTGTCCAGGTTGATAGTCAGGCCAAAGAGCTTAGCAATATCTGAGAATTTGTTCAGCATGAACTGTAGGTAACAATAGCAATAGCACTTAGACATATATACCGCTTTACTTCCTTCAGATCCTTTAGCAACCGGTTCGCTACCACGTTGCTGGATGGGTGTGGCCATGGTGGGCATGGGCTAGTCGGCTGCCTTCACCACAGGTTTGTGTGTGCCTTCACCTGAGGTCCAGAGGCCCTCTGGAGGCTGGAACAGGCCCGTTCCTGGACTTCTGGAAGTTCCGGGAGGCCCATTTTTCACCCTCGCAGACCCTCCACATGGCCCCTGCACTTACCTGGAATGATGAACGGGCTGCATGGAGAACTCCTGGGAAGGGAGGGGCATGGTGAGAGGGGCGAGGTGGGGTGTGCATGACCAGCAAGGGAAGGTATTTGGGGGTTCGCTGAACACCAACGATCCTTGGATAGAGGATCGCCCGAACCCTGCTGAACCCCCAGGAGCCCACCCCTGTTTACAGTGCTTTACAGCCCTCTCTAAGCGGTTTTCCGAGTCAACATAATGCCCCCAACAATCTGGGTCCTCATTTTATCCACCTCGGAAGGACAGAAGGCTGAGTCAACCTTGAGCCTGGTGACATTCCAACTGCCAAATTGCAGGCAGCCGGCAGTCAGCAGAAGTAGCCTGCAGTACTGCACTCTAACCACTGCGCCACCACGGCTCAGATCACTGTCTTTGCATGCCAGGCATGCGCAGTCAGCAGTAAAGAGGGTTGTTTTGAATGGCAGTGTGGAGGCTTTTTCATCTGTTCACAGGAAGATCAAAGAGAGAGCCATGCAATTGGTACCCGAGATATACTCCCTCCTTCAGATCCTGGACAATATGTGATCACATGCAGGTGAAGAACAGATCGAACAGTTCTGGGGCGCTAGCACACAGCGCAGCAAAGGCGTGCGGTATGGGCAGGTTGACTGGCTGACAGGCGAGCGCCTTTAGCGAGGGCTATCCAGCTTTCTCCGAGCCTGATCCCTGGGGTGGGCTTCCGAGGTTCATCAGGTTTCCCGCTGCCCTAAGCTTCTTTACTCCTTCAGCTGAGTGGTGCCACCAGTGGCATTGATTGAAAAGCATCCACAAGGCGGTGAAAGTCCCCCGTGTGAGATTTAAAGCCGCCTGGAGGACACTTTTCAATCAATGCCGGTGGCGGCATCACGAGGGTATTCCCACTCATGCAGGCATGCGCAAGAGAGAGAGAGAGAGAAATTAGAGAAAAGAGGAGAAAAAAGAGAGAGAGAAATGAGAAAATGATGGAGGGAGAGATTGAGAGAGAGGAAAAAGAGAGAAACAAATGAGAGAGAGGGAGAGAGAAATGAGAGAGAGCTGGTGGGAGAGAGAGAGGGAAAAGAGAGGAAAACAGATGAGAGAGAGAGGAGAGAAAGAAAGAAAGAGGAAGGAAAGAAGGAAGGAAGGAAAAAAGAAAGAAAGAAGAGAGAGAAAACAAAAAGAGAGAAAAACAGGAATTGGAAGGCAGGAGGGAGGGAGAGAGAGACCTATTTCCCACAGAAAACACTGGGAGCAACAAAACCTGGATAAGCGTGGTTTGGGGGTGTGTATCATGTGATTGGGTGGGAGTGACGATGAGTTGGCCACGCCCACCCAGGTTTTGTGGCTCCCTGTGTTTTCTTTTCTGTGGGAAACGGATCCAAATGGCTCTTTGAGTGTTTAAGGTTGCAGATCCCTGCACTAGATGGTATCTCCTGTCTATTCTTGGTGATGTTGGGTCAGGGCTAGCTGTGGAAAACTATTGGGGAATTCTAGAGATGCTGTTTAGACTAGGATCTAGCCATATTTAAATACTAATTGCACATAGGAGAATGCTGATTTAAGTTTGTAACAGACCTGATTAAGCCTGTTGTGTGAATGTGGCCATTGGACATTTCAAAGGAGAAGGGATAGAGGAAGAAGATGGGGACAAAGGAAACTCAATTACTATTGTCCCTAAGTCTCGCCTCCCAGGTTTCTATTTTTTAAGAAAATCAGCGTTAAAAGGTTTTGCCACTGCTGTTCAGGCAATTTTTTTATTCACTTCTGCCTTCCTTTCGATATTTATTTAGTTCAATTATTTTATATTGCTTTTAGAACACCTCAAAGATGTTTACAATAAAAAAAACCAGCAATAAAACAATAATTTACAACAGTGTTGTGTCTCTGTGACATTTCCTCTTCTGCATTTTTAGCTGATCAAGCTGCTGACTTGGGATTCGTTATTGCTCTTGGATCAGTACAAAATGAGGTATGAAGATGCTAGCCTTGTTAACAGAAAGGCTGGCAGTTTGAAACCCGTGTGCCGCATAATGGGGTGAGCTCTTGTTCATGCCTCAGCTCCTTGCCAATTTAGCAATTAGAAAGATGCAAATGCAAGTAGATAAATAGGTACCTCTTTGGTGGACAGTATTCTGTGTGCCTCGGTGTATAGTCATGTCTGCCACATGACTATAGAAGCATCTTCAGACAACGCTGGCTCCCTCGGCTAGTAGATGGAGATGAACATTTGCCCCTAGAGTTGGAGAACAACTGGACAGTGGAAAACTTTGTTTTTCTTTTAAGATCCAATATCTGTAGGGCTTCTCCTTCTCCTCCTTTGATGCTTTAGAGTCAGTGACAAAAAACACTAAACATCAATTAGATGCCTGCTTTTTTGCTTCTAAGGAGATGCCTCACCACTTGCTTCTCTATCCGTCCCCCATTTGTGGCATGGAGAAAAAACAAATATTTTCCTTCCTATCCAATGGAAAGTGGAGTGTTGGAAAAACAGTTGGCACTTTCTTAAGAGATCACAAGGTCCTTCTGATTCCTACCCTGGGCAGAAGAGGAACTGATTAACAGTGGTTAACAATGGTTAACAGTGAGAACAATTAACCAGTGGAAGAGCTTGCCTTCAGAAGTTGTGGGTGCTCAATCATTGGGGGCTTTTAAGAAGAGACTGGACAGTCACTTGTCTGGAATAGTATAGGGTCTCCTGCTTTAACAGAGGATTGGACTAGAAGACCTCCAAAGTCCCTTCCAATTCTGCTGTTCTGTTATTCTGAATCAGTGGCGGGTTGCCCCCTGTAGTAATACCGGCGGGAGGCTTCGCCCGCTGACCTGGATGTCATCATAGGTAGAAGCTTCTGTGCATGCACAGAAGAGCCTGTGTGGGCGCGATACGAGCCAGTAGTAAAAGTAAGTAGAACCCACCCCTGAACTGCGGGAGGCCTTTCAAAGGAAAGTACCTTGAGATTATTGATATGAATACTTAAGAATGGATGTTATGAGAGACAAGTTCCATCTTAGAAACCAGGAGATTGTGAGTTCTGCTCCTGCCTTAAGCAAGAAAGCCAATTGGGTGACTTTGGGGCAGTCCCTCTCTCTCAGCCCCACCTCACATAGAAAAAACAATTGCTACCAACCTGCCTTCCATTGAGGACCTGTGTACTGCACAAATCAAAAAGAGGGTTGTGAAAATATCTACAGACCCCTCGCATCCTGGACATAAATAGTTTCAACTCCTACCCTCAAAAAGGCGTTATAGAGCACTGCACACCAGAACTACTAGACACAAGAACAGTTTTTCCCCGAACGCCATCACTCTGCTAAACAAATAATTCCCTCAACACTGTCAAACTATTCACTAAGTCTGCACTACTATTACTATTAATCTTCTCATCGTTCCTATCACCCATCTCCTCCCACTTATGACTGCATGACTGTAACTTGTTGCTGTATCCTTACGATTTATATTGATTGTTTCCTAGTATGATTCGATTGCTTATTTGTACCCTGTGACTATCATTATGTGTTGTATCTTATGATTCTTGGCAAATGTATCTTTCCTTTTTATGTACACTGAGGCCATATGCACCAAAGACAAATTCCTTGTGTGTCCAATCACATTGGCCAATAAAGAATTGTAATCTAATCTAATAGTGGTTGTTGTGAGGAAAATAGGAGGAGAAAGAAGTATTATATACAATATTTACAAAAATAATAAAGATGAGGTAAAAAGCGATTAAAATAAATAACTCCTGCCACTTGTTCCATCACTTGAATAACTCCACAAGACTCAATTATTTGCATTCTTAGTTTATTTAGGTGATAGCTTAATGACAGTTGAAAGTTAAGAAAGAACCTCAGAGTGAGCTAGAACATCAAAGCATAGTAATTAAAAACCCATCACTCATCACCAACGCAAATCACAAACTTTAATCTCTAACTTGAGTATCTTTGATCCCAAATTCTTACTTCTTTGGATGAAGCCCTTAATTCCATCCCCGCCCAAATGTTCTTGAAAAGCTGTTCCATCCTTCCAGTCCCTCAGGATTCTGGCATTCTACTCTTTCAATGTTTAAACGAAGTAATCCATTCCCATACTCCATTTCTCTTTCTGGGTAGGTACAGGCATTCCTGATTGTACATCCCTGGGCAGTGACTGTTGAATGGAATGCTGACACTGGGGAAGAAAAGGGGGAGAAGGAAGCATTTAGGAAGCCTTTCTTAGTTTTCCCTTTCACTTTTAATGGCGTGGCACTGAGATACATTAACGAATGTATGCAGTGGTGGGATGCTGCCGGTTTAACAACTGGTTTGGTGATTGCGCGCGCATCAGTGGTGGGTTCCTCCCGGTTCGGTCCGGTTCAGCCAAGCCGGTAGCGGTGACAATATGACGTCACCGAACCGGTTCTCCCCCCTGCCCTCGCCCACCCATGTTATTCTTACCTTTTATTTGGTCCCACCCCCAATCTATTGCTGCCTGAGTCCCAGCTGATGACTAGAGGGAAAAAAACTGTTTAAACTCTTGCCGCGGGGCTTCAAAGGGCCGTCTTACAGCTGATCAGTGTTAAAAGCAAACAAATGAGTCGGGTCGTAAGTGTGAGGACCTTCCAGAAATGACTCTGACCAGCTAACCACGCCCACCTAGTCACATGACCTCCAAGCCACACCCACAAAAAAAGTCATGCCCACAGAACCGGTAGTAAAAAAATGTAGAAACCACCCCTGGCGCGCATGCCTGCTTTGCGTCCATGCACAGTTTTACAAATACTAACTTTCTGTGTTACCACTTGGGAGTAACACAGCTGAGGAGCGGATTGCCACTCTGCCGCGCCAATCAGCTGAGAAGATAAAGGTAAGTCAAGCACAGGGGCAGGCGGGTGGGCTGGCCAACCTGATCGTCCGAGTGAACCGGTTCACTCCCAGCTGATTGTCGGAGCTACCGGTTCACCCAAAGCAGTCCGAACCGGTAGAATCCCACCCCTGATACGTATGTATCTGTCCGGTCATCTAGACAAGGCCTTCCTTGTGAGGCAAATAAGGAGTGGATGAGATGTTTGATAGCCCATTGTCTTGGACAGTCTCTCCCCTGAGGCATGTCCTACCCCCACTCTGTCAACCACCCCCAAATTACTAAAAATCTGTTTTAAATCCAGCAGCATTTGGGCCCCCATTGATTGACTAAGGGGGATCTATCTCAAGTTTTGAATCAAAAGCTTTTCTTGTTGTTTTCTTCCTTGAAAAAAAAAAAAAGAACTGAACTGAACGTAGCCAAAGACCGAAATATGGGTTTTACTTTGTACTGTTTATGTTTCTCTTTCATTTGCTGTAGGCTGAATTTCATTTGTTTCTAAAATGTTCCTCCCCAAAGTGATAAAGGATGAGGTTGCTCACGTGCGTAGGTGGTGAATTTCGAAGTGAAACACTGGTTCTCATCACCGAGACACAGCACGGATCCATTTTGTTCAGAAGAACCATTTTGTTCATAAGAGCCTGGACAGTAGAACCCGTTGGGTTTCATGAGCTCACGCCCTGGTACTGCAAAGAGGAAGCTTCAGAGTTAGCAAATACTTTTAACAACCACAATACTGGGTATGTCTAGTTTAATGAAAAGAAGGACTAGGGTTGATATGATAGCAGTCTTCCAATATCTCAGGGGCTGCCACAAAGAAGAGGGAGTCAAGCTATCCTCCAAAGCACCTGAGGGCAGGACAAGAAGCAATGGATGGAAACTAATCAAGGAGAGAAGCAACCTAGAACTAAGGAGAAATTTCCTGACAGTGAGAACAATCAGTGGAACAACTTGCTTCCAGAAAGTCTGAATTCTCCAACACTGGAAATTTTAAAGAAGATGTTGGATAAACCTTTGTATGAAGTGGTGTAGGGTTTCCTGCCAAAGCAGGGGGTTGGACTAGAAGACCTCCAAGATTCCTTCCAACTCTGTTATTCTATTCTATTCTATTCTATTCTATTCTATTCTATTATTCTATTCTATTCTATTCTATTCTATTCTATTCTATTCTATTCTATTCTATTCTATTCTATTCTATTCTATTCTATTCCATCCCATCCCATCCCATCCCATCCCATCCCATCCCATCCCATCCCATCCCATATTTTATCCTATCCTATCCTATCCTATCCTATCCTATCCTATCCTATCCTATCCTATCCTATCCTACCCTACCCTACCCTACCCAACCCTACCCTACCCTACCCTACCCTACTCTACTCTACTCTACTCTATTCTTTCTGAAATATTTATATCTCAACTAAGCCCCCTCTAATCATTTTGACTACATTTCTTGTCATTCTCAGTCAGGAAAAGGTTTGTTTTCCCATTGTGTTCATACTGGAGTAGGGCATGAAATTGGAATGCACAATTTCTTAATGAACTTAAAGGAACTTAGTGGGGTCTTTAGAAATGACGCAAAATAACATTTTAACCTCCTCCCCTCTTGCTCCGTCTGATTTATGTCAGAAGGACCCCATCATTCCATTGAGGCTGGAGGGGGTTTCTCAATAGATGGTTCTCCTTTTAGCGACAACGTCTTCCTAAGGACTTTCATGCTACTTGATCCCTCCGCCGACAAACATACAGGGTGCCGAAAGCAGTGACAACCTGCTCTTTCAAACGGGAGAGTCTGCTGCAGAGATGGGTTTCAGCAGATTCTGACCAGTTCTGGAGAACCGGTAGTGGAAATTTTGAGTAGTTTGGAGAAATGGCAAATGCCATCTTTGACTGGCCCTGCCCCCATCTATTCTCTGCCTCCAGAGTCCCAGCTGATTGGGAAGAAATGGGGATTTTTCAGTAACCTTCCCCTGGGGTGGGGAGGGAATGGAGATTTTACAGTATTCTTCCCTTGCCACACCCACCAAGCCATGTCCACCAAGCCACACCCACAGAACTGGTAATAAAAAAATTTGAAACCTACCACTGGTCTGCTGGTTGTTAGAATGGGCATTTTAATCTCAGGTTACTTACTAGGAAGAGGTGCTGTATTACAGTCATCGGTCTCACAACACTCTACTCTCAGCTGCTGGAATTTGCCGGCTACCGATGTGAGGCTATAATAAGCTTTGGAGCATTGCTTATCTGTTGCACATGACTTGTAAGTAAAGGATAGTGGAGGTCTGGCTGCAAAATTAAATCAGAAAAACAAAACAAAACCTCATTGTGGCAGGTAACAGAGAAATAAAAACATCCACCCTTCCAATTTAAAGATTTAAATTCAGATGCTTCTGATGATCAATTCTAAGTAGTGGAGAGGTTTTCAGCTAAGGATAAGGGGGCATAGATCTCGTGATGCTCCCTCTAGATTATCCTGCGATGAAATGGAAATCATGGAGAGGTGCCATAAAGACAGGGATGGGTTCTACTTACCTTTACTACCGGTTCGCAATGGGAGCACACGTGCAAGCGCAGATCGTCCATGATGACATCCGGGCGGGTAGGCGGAGCCTCCCGCTGCTTTTACTACCGGTTTGCAAGAACCAGACCAAACCGGGAGCAACCCACCACTGCATAAAGAACTGCGGTGGCACAGTGTTAGAATGCCGTACTGCAGGCTACTTCTACTGACTGCCGGCTGCCAGCACTTCGGCAGTTCGAATCTAGGGGTGAAATGCTCTCGGTTCGGACCGGATCGCCCAATCCGGTAGCGATGGCGGCGGGTGGTTCAGACAACCAGTAGCAAAAATCCTTCCCCACCCCCATGCCCAGCTGAGCCGCTCAATTATCAGAGGCTTTTTTATTATTATTTTTAAAAGCATTTTTTCTACAACCTCTTTGGCCGAAGAGGTTGTAGAAAAAATGGTTTTAAAAGTAAAAAAAAAAAAAGTTGGCCACGCCCACTCAGTTATATTACCCCCACCACCACCAAGCCACACCCACAGAACTGGTAATAATTTTACATTTCACCACTGTTCGAATCTCATCAGGCTCAAGGTTGACTTAGCCTTCCGTACTTCCGAGGTCAATAAAATGAGGACTCAGATTGTTGGGGGCAATACGCTGACCCCGTAAACTGCTTAGAAAGGGCTGTTTAAACACTGTGGAGTGGTATATAAATCTAGGTGCTATTGATATTGCTATTGGAGAGCATTCTAACACCTTTGACTTCACCTGGGAGAAATTTACTCCAACTTCTTACTCCAGATAGGCTCGGATGAGATGGAGAAGAGTGATTAGAGAGCATTCTAACAGCTTTGACTTCACCTGGGAGAAATTTACTCCAACTTCTTACTCCAGATAGGCTCGGATGAGATGGAGAAGAGTGATTAGAGAGCATTCTAACAGCTTTGACTTCACCAAGGAACGTTTCTATTCTTTTGAGCTGAATGAGGTGCAGTATGAAGAGTTTAACAGATGCCGTTGTGTTCCTGATTGATGGCAACTAGATGTAGGAAACAGCCCAGGTACGGGGAAATGTCTGTTGTGACTCCCACCAACACCTATAAATCACCCCTTGATCCTCTGGGGACCAAAGGTATGAACATGGCAAACATCATTAAGACTGAAAGTGCATTTCACTCACTCATAGTGCTGCGAAAGGAAAGTGAAAGACAATATTCTTCATCCGGTCCACAGTCCACCGACTTCATGTCCTCGTTTTTGCATTCTTCTTTACAGGCAAAGCAGGACTGGCATTTTAAAGATGCCGCTGCAAATAGAAGAAGAAAAAAAGGAAGGAATGAAGGGAGGGAGGGAGGAAGAGAGGGAAGGAAGGAAGGAAGGAAGGAAGGAAGGAAGGAAGGAAGGAAGGAAGGAAGGAGATTTCTAATCAGTCATGCTGTAGTTCTAGCAATGTTGAAGATCTGTAATGAGATAATTATCAGGCAGTCCTCAACTTACGGTGATCATTCAAAATATAGCGATTCCCTGAGAGAACCCACAATTGAAATTCTTCCCTTACTTTGGACAAATCCTTAACTACAATTTAGTCAAAATTCTTCCAGATTTCTCTTCCCTCCCATATTTACCGCTGGCGTTACCTGTTGAGATGACTGAAGAGAGGAGGCACAGGACAAAAATTCTAGCAGACATTATGACGACAGTGGTGAATCGACTGTGTTTAGTGACGGCAGTGTGAGATATTTATAGTTCCTGGCGTATGCCGACCTTGGATAATGAGTTTGAAGAAATCTGCTGAGGAGGTGGAAGGGGAGTTGGGGATGACAATCAAATCCCACAAAGAGCAGTAGAGCAACATCAACTTACACAAGAAGTTGGGGCATGGGAAAACCTGTACAGAATCCATCAAGATGAGTTAGGCAGTTAGTCATATTGATGGTGAAGAAAAACTTGATCTGTGCTCTTCCAGTTCATGATGTGGGGCCCATGTGGTAATGCCTATCTATTAACGGGGTAAGAAATGAGGCTCAAAATCACCATTGGGTTGAGATTATTTTGGTAATATTTCAGGAGGAACCAAAAATGTGATCGGGCAGTGTAGAAGCACCTAGCTCAATAGTAGTAACTGGGAGTGGGCAATCACTTAAATATGAGCCAGCCGTGTGTTGCAGCTTCCAAAAAAGCCAACACAGTTTATTTATTGGTTCGATTTATATGCCGAAGGACTAGGGGTGACATGATAGCAGTCTTCCAATATCTAAGGGGCTTCCACAAGGAAGAGAGAGGATGTGTGTGTCAACCTATTCTCCAAAGGACAAGAAACAATGGGTGAAAACTAATCAAGGAGAGAAGCAACTTAGAACTAAGGAAACAATTCCTGATAATGAGAACAATTAACCAGTGGGAAACTTGCCTCCAGAAGTTGTAAATGCTCAACACTGGAGGTTTTTAAGAAGAGATTTGACAACCATTTGTCTGAAATGATATAGGGTTTCCTGCCTACATGGGGGGTTTGGATTAGAAGACCTCCAAGGTCTCTTCCAACTTATTCACCAGGAAGGTGTGATGAAACAAGAATGTCCTCCAGATTCTTCTCTCTACCACAGGGGTCTCCAACCTTGGCAACTTTAAAACTTGTGGACTTCAACTTTGAAAAATTATTTAAAAACATTATAAAAACATTTTAAAAACATTAAAAGCCCATGCACGTCATTCATTGCCGGATCTCGCAACATTGCAACAGTGAGATAAACGGCCCCAGGCCTGCCGGAAAAGCCGCTTTCCGGAAGGCCAATAGGGTGGAGGCAGTCCAGACTTCAGGAGGTAACTGGTTCCAGAGAGCTGGGGCAGCCACAGAGAAGGCCCTTCCCCCGCGGGCCCGCCAGCCGGCATTGTTTAGGTGACGGGACCTGGAGGAGACCAACTCTGTGGGATCTTACTGGTCGCAGGGAGCTATGCGGCAGAAGGCGGTCTCGAAGATAGCCTGGCCCTGAGCCATGTAGGGCTTTAAAGGTAATAACCAACACCTTGAATTGTGACCGGAGACCAATAGGGAGCCAGTGCAGCTCATGGAGAATTGGTGTAATGTGGGTGTACCTAGGTGCACCCACAACAGCTCGCGCAGCTGCATTCTGGACCAACTGTAGTCTCCGAACACTCTTCAAGGGTAGCCCCATGTAGAGCGTGTTGCAATAATCTAACCGTGAAGTGACAAGGGCATGAGTGACTGTGAGGAGAGCCTCCTGATCCAAGTAGGGTCGCAATTGGTCGCAACCAGACGAGCCTGTGCAAAGGTCCCCCTATCTACAGCTGCCAGATGTTGCTCTAATCTCAGCTGTGAGTCTAGGAGGACACCCAAATTGCGAGCCCGTTCTGAGGGGGACAATTTCTCCCCCCCAGAACCAAGGATGGACAGTTGACATAGTCTTTAGGAGGCAATACCCAAGTCTTCAAGTTGCCAAGGTTGGAGACCCCTGCTCTAGCATATCTATCTATGGGCTGAAACACTGCTGACGTTCCTCGGTTGAACACGTCTACTCTGTCCAGCTGGGCCAGTTTGCCAGGTTCACAGATAGACGACCCATGATACGCTCAAAGAACCACTCCTTCCTAGAAACCTTGTATTGTAAATCACCCTGAATTCAATACTGTTGAATTCCATTCGTGTTGCACCGGATTGCAGCACAACATTTGCAAGAATTCACATAAATTAAGCTCTGCAACTTTTTGGACCATTCCATAAGAAAGTCCGGAATGATGAGCTGCGTGTGGGAGGGAAAGGACAGTGGGAAAGAGTAGCTAGTTGAATGAGGAAATAATTGAACCTGGTCCCTCTAGGCTTGGCGCCAGCTCCCTTATGCCTCCAGTCCCATGATTAAGCTGCTTTGCAAACAGCAGAAAGATACTTCTGGAAAAGAGGAGGCGTCAGTTTCTCTCCTGGATTATGGGAATTTGTAATGCGGACAACATGAGGCAAGCAGTGGTGGGATTCAATTTTTTTTACTACCGATTCTGCAGACAAGGCACCGTAATTTAACACCAGCTGTCTGCAATTAAAGTAAGTTCGAATCTCACCCGGCTCAAGGTTGACTCAGCCTTCCATCCTTTCTAAGGTAGGTAAATTGAGGACCCAGTTTGTGGGGGCAATAAGCTGACTTTGTATAAAATATACGAAAGTATGAAGGCTATTGCTTAACGCATTGTAAGCCGCCCTGAGTCTCTGGAGAAGGGCGGCATATAAATCAAATTAAAAAAAAAATACCCCTATGCAACATTTTTTTTCAAGGATGCCCATGGACTATAATTCCCAGAATTCCCCCGTCAACATGGACATTGCTGAAAATCCTAAGAATTGAAACCTGTATTTTAGAGATCAGCTGCTCGGGAAAAGAAAAGAAGGAAGAATTTTTGAAAATTTCTGGAAAATAATGTTTGGAAATTTCAAGGCAAAAGTTCTCCAGGTGTGCTATGATTACTGGAGAATATGTGTTGAAGAGGAGGTTGACTGGGAGAATTTAATTTAATTTAATTTAATCCCAGGGACCTTGGAGGTCTTCTAGTCCAGCCCCCTGCTCAAGCAGGAAATCCTATAACATTTCAGGCAAATGGTTGTCCAATCTCTTCTTAAAAACTTCCAATGTTGGAGAATTCACAACTTCTGGAGGCAAGTGGTTCCACTGGTTATCAGATATCAATGACAGCCAAATCTCACATGGATTAGAGCAGGGGTCTGCAACCTTAAATACTCAGAGAGCCATTTGGACCCGTTTCCCACAGAAAAGAAAACACCGGGAGCCACAAAACCTGCCCAACTCAATGTCATTCACTTCTACCAGTCACATAACCCCCTCCCCACAGCCACGTCTACCCAGCCGGTCATTAGGGCAGAGAACCAGTTGTTAAAAAACACCGGGAACCACAAAATCCTTTTGACATATCTCTCTCTCCTCTCCCTCCCTCCCTCCCTCCCTCCCTCCTACCTCTCTCTCTCTCTGTATCTCTCTGTCTCTGCCCTGGCCACTTCTCCACTGTCGCTCTTACCTTCTCAGGCCAGGTGAGGAGTGACTGGGAGGGGAGGGCGAGGGGTGGGGCCAGCCAGTGGTGGGATCACCTGACAGGGAGCCACAGCAGAGGGCCCAAAGCGCCGCATGGGGCTCCGGAGCCACAGGTTGCTGACCCCTGGATTCGAGCATTATCTTTTTGCTCAAGAATGAGAAATGGGTTGCATTTCCATCCAGATTTCCTTCCTACAAGTTGTGTATCAGCTGATCGGTTGTCATTCTGCTTTGTAAATTGATCTTGTTGGTTTTGTTTTATTATCTCATATGTCTTTTCCATCACTTGTATATCAACTGGTTGATTTACGCACTTGTCTGTAACTTGATAATTCATCACATTAGAATCAGATGACACTGCTCTCAAATTTATAGACAGTCCAGCTGGGGTATCCAAGGAGTCCGAAGACAGGTTATCTACCACAGCCTCTGTAATTTGATGTTTTTCCTTTATTTCCAGCTCCTTTTGCTTGTCCTGTGTTATGCCTAAAGATGTTAAATTTATTTTTAAAATTTTTTGATAAAATTCTTCCGCTTTTTCGACAGTATTCAGTTGGTATCTTACTCCTTGGTGTCTCAATATTAAACCAACTGGGACGTCCCACCTAAATAAAATATTCCTTTTTTTTAACTCATTCACTAGAAAACCAAATTTCTTCCTCTCCATTAACATCTTGGGCGGGAGTTCCTTAAAAATCCAAATCTTTCTTCCACGAAATTGCAAAGTAGAATTATAAGAATTCTGCACAATATTATTTCTAATTTCTCTGTCTGTAAAATAAATCACCACATCTCTAGGCAATTGCGCTTGTTTTGCCAACCAGGAGTTTATTCTATAAATTCTGTCAATCCTGCAAAACACTTCATCAGGTTGAACCTTTAAAATCCCAGCCAGAATTTCAGAAGATATCTTCCTTAAATCATCTCTGTCATTTTCCTGCAGGCCTCTCAGTCTAATTGCATATTCTGTAAAATTGTGTTGGATCATTAAAACTTCTCTTTCAATCCTCTGTTGTACATTTTCTTCATTACCAGTCTTTTGATCAGCCTCCATTTTAAGTTTGTCTTCTGAACTATTATCCTGAGTGTTTGCCAAATCCTTTTTAATTTTTTGGATCTTGTCATCCAAATTCTCCTCAGTTTCTTTCATTTTAGACTCTAATAATTTAGTATTTGCATCCAACTGAATCACAAAGTCTGCTAAGCCATTAGCTGTTTTTAAAATCTTTCGATCCAAAAAACCAAACTTAGATTTCACCAATTCACCAATTTCTTTGATTTCCAACTTAAATTTTTCAAGTTGCTGATTCACAATCTCATCCCTTCTTACAATCTCCTCAAGAAGAAATTCTATTATATTAAAGTCAGGTTTCTGAGACTGGAGAGTTAAAACTTGTTGATGTAATTTATTAATGGGGGAATCCCCCCCCACTGCCTGTTTGTCTAGCTTTATAAGTCTCAGTGCCATTTTTCCACGCAGACAAAATTTACTGGAAAAGAGAAAAAAAAAAACTTTTTTCCAACCAAGATCAATATCAGATCCCCAAGGAAAAAAAAAGGAAAAAAAAAAACAGAAGTGAGAGTGAGGTTTTGCCTTCAGTTACAGCCAAAAGTATTCATTCCGCTACTTTGTAATTGAAAACGGAAGGAGTTTCCCTTTCAGCCTCTCTTCAAGCCCCAGCAGCAATCGCCATTTAAAAAAAACTTTTTCCCTTCACTTCACTTCTTAGGCAAAATAGAATAAAAAAAAATACTTGCGCTTCAGGATCAGAGGTCCAGCTCATATCTTCTTTAATTAATTTATTTGACAGATTTACAGGCTTGCTTTTGCCCCCTAGCTCTGCGTGTAGCAGAGATTTCCCAGAGCCCGGAGCATCGGCTGGGGATACGGGGAGTCTCTTCCGCTCCCTCCCAAAAGTAAATAAAAAACTTTTGGGATTAGGCAGAGGACTCTACCCACCCCAGCCGGCTCTATCTCCGTTTCCTAATGGAAACGGAGTTTTTTCGAGCCGCCATTCTGCTGAAAAAGGCGGCTCTTACAGGCAGTGGGTTCGACGATCCCGAAGGAGCGTCCAGCGGGGACAAGCAGCAAACCGGAAGTCCCGCAAAAGAAAAAGAAAAGAAACAGATCTCATAGAAATAGTAGTTTCTAAACCAAGCAACAGTGAAGCCAGGGATTTTAAAAAATAAATGAATATGTGAAAAGATATTGGAGGCGAATTATCGTTTAATACTATCTTGAGGAAAGTGGCAGATCTCTGCAATGCCGTGATTTTGGGATGTGGAAAGAGCCTTACATTGTTGGATTTGAACTATCTATTTTGGATTTCTTTTACCGATAAATATATTATAATTATTTTGAGTTACAAGGCAAGAGAGTCATGCTGGGGCATGCAGAAGATCTGGCTGTTACCCACTAAGATGATGGGAATTTATAATCCTGATGAAAACCACAATTGCAACTATATGGAATATAATTATAATGTCACTCGGGTGGTTGTTTTTACTTTTATATATACATGAGGATATTCATTATTGATGGGGGCAGAAGATGACTGAAGATTTTGAATAAACTGTTGCACCAGGATGCTATGTTACCCTATTATGGATGATGGATTTAACAATCTAGTGGAAAGACATCAAAGAAGATACTAAATGAATTATAAATTTAAAGTTATTGTCTTTTCTCTTTTTATAAAATGGAATGTATATATAGACATATGTATAATTTAGCAGAGTGGGCAGTGGAATATATTTAGAATTGTAGTGTATGGTAATCTTGCAGGAAACTGGGTTGAAATAGGCTAGTTTAGTGATTGATTAGTTTAAGAAAAAGGATTTTTAAGTCATATATTTTGGGGAGTGGAAGAATTGGATAGAACTGAATAAATGTTAAATTTGGAGAAGGCTGCTTTGAAATGTTATATTAATATATATAAAAGATTAAAGGTTATGTTGTTGTAATAATAATAATATTTTATAAGTTTGGGGGAGGAGAAAAAGGGTAGATTATTGCGAAAAGCAGAGAAAAGCGGAGTTATAAGAATATTATGCTAAGGGTCAGTACTTTGAGGAGTGAGTAAGGGCATGGTAAAATATTATGTAATTAATTATGAATTAGCTTATTGTTGTGAAGAAGAAGTCACAGGGGGGGATGGGTGGTGAGGGGGGGTTAGGGAAGAGGGGGGGAAAGGGGGAAAAACTTGTATTTGAAAACTTTTTCAATAAAAAAAAAAAGAATGAGAAATGGAATGGATAGGATGGTAGGACATGTTGGTTGTTGGTTCACGTCTCCGTATAGGTTCCAATGGCTTGGTAGCTTTTTTTTTTTTTTGGCAATGGCTTGGACAGTTTATTGTGGTTTTCTTGGCAGCATTTCCAGAAATAGTTTGCCATCGCCTCCTCAGGGCTGAGAGAAAGGAACTGGCATGGTGTTTAAAGTGAGACTAGAACTCGCGGTCTCCTGGGTAGCAGAGTCAAATTGGACATTTCCTGAGTTTTTGACACGCTGAGCCCAAAGTGCTTGCAGTCAGTGGCCTAAGCTTTCCTTAACTACAGTATTCTTAGATAGGTTTTGGAATATTTACAAATATTGCAACAACGCAATAGAGCCTTGGTAGCACAGCAGACTAAAGTGCTGTTAACTAGCACCAGCTGCCTGCAATTACTGCAAGTTCAAATCTCACCAGGCTCAAGGTTGACTCAGCCTTCCATCCTTTTGAGGTAGGTAAAATGAGGACCCGGATTGTGGGGGCAATAAGCTGACTTTGTATAAAAAAGAACACCGCTTGGGGGCAGGTATATACAAAAGTATGAAGGCTATTGCTTAACGCATTGTAAGCCACCCTGAGTCTCTGGAGAAGGGCGGCATATAAATCGAACCAATAAATAAATAAATAAATAAATAATGCTTCGTATTAATTGGAATGAGGAGGGTTTGGGCTGGATCTGAAGTCAGATCTCACTGGCAGCAGGTTGCAGGAGGCCATCGCAGCCGAAAACATCACAGCTGTTATTTACAACAGTGAGGGTTTTTTTTTTTTTTTTAATTTGATTTATATGCCGCCCTTCTCTGGAGACTCAGGGCGGCTTACAATGTGCTCAGCAATAGCCTTCATCCTTTTTGTATATTTATACAACGTATAAATCTTTGTATAAATTTTGTATATTTATACAAAGTATAAATCTTGGCGAGATTCGAACCTGCAGTAATTGCAGGCAGCTGGTCTTAATAACCAGCTTAATAACAGGGTGCCTTAGACCACTGTACTACCAAGGCTCTTGGTAGTTTGTTTTTATGCCATGATATTTAGCATGATATTGGTTCATTACACTGTCACATTCAAAACTCTCTTGTCTTGTTTAAGAAAAATCTCCTCCCGAGCTAGGGTTTCACTGGCAGAGCCCTTGGGCTACCACAGGTGCCCCCGACATGAGTGACGTCGAGCTGGCCAGCCATGCCCATCCTGGCCACACCCACCTGGCCCCCCAAGGTCAAACACTACCCTGATGTGGTCGCTCAATGAAATCGAGTTTGACACCCCTGCCATAGAGCAGCTAGTGAGGCAGGCAGTGATTGGCCATTCTGATGACATGTCCCACCCACCACATCTGAGCTATGATAATCATGGTGTCAGCGTTCCAGAAAAACCCCAACTCCAAGTGAAACTCTGAAGCCAGCATTTTTCAAAGTTCCATTTACTAGAATAGGTAAACTGGCACATCTGGGAAAACCCGAATCGGAGAGGTCCGGGTTTTCCCTCGTAAATCAAAACCCCCCAAATCATCCCCCACTCCTCAGTCGATCACAGGCTCCAATCACCCTCCGTCCCATCTCTAGACATCACTCTGACCACTCCTTCTCCAGATGCAGGATCGCCCTGACCTTGATCGACAGGAAGAATGCTATTATGTCTACAGACAACCCCTCTACTAAATCCCCCCTCCTACTTTCCTACACATGAGAAGGTGGCAGCATGGAAGTTTCCGGCCTAATATGGCTTCCAAAGCTGACACAGGGATTCAATGCTAGTGAACTTCACATGATCCAGGATTTTCAAGTTGAAGGCATGAACTCGACAACAAATTTCACAGACGGAACAGAGAACGCACTGTGAATTTTTTCTGTTTGTTTAATGTCCCATCAAGTACACAGTCCAGGACTGTTATCCCTTTAGGGGAAAAGAGATAAACCACAGATCCCTAGACTTTCATCTTTGTGGAGATATGGATGTTGTGTTGATTGAACACTCTTGTACACAGACAGCCCAGCACGTGGCTGAACTTGCTGAACCTGGAATCAATTTCTCTGTCCAAAAACCCATCATGATGTTTCCAAAGTATTTGAAGCTGTTGACATGGGTGTCATCAACAGTGATTTTGGGTTCCACAGGGTTGATATTTGACATGGGCTGCTAAAGTGCTTCAGTCTTGTCCAGGTTGATAGTTAGGCCAAAGAGCTTAGCAATATCTGAGAATTTGTTCAGCATGAACTGTAGGTAACAATAGCAATAGCACTTAGACATATATACCGCTTTACTTCCTTCAGATCCTTTAGCAACCGGTTCGCTACCACGTTGCTGGATGGGTGTGGCCATGATGGGCATGGGCTAGTCGGCTGCCTTCACCACAGGTTTGTGTGTGTGTGCCCTCTCTAGGCCGGAGGCTTTCTTGCCTCCGAGTGCTGCTTCCCCTGAGGTCCAGAGGCCCTCTGGAGGCTGGAACAGGCCCGTTCCTGGACTTCTGGAAGTTCCGGGAGGCCCATTTTTCACCCTCGCAGACCCTCCACATGGCCCCTGCACTTACCTGGAATGATGAACGGGCTACATGGAGAACTCCTGGGAAGGGAGGGGCATGGTGAGAGGGGCGAGGTGGGGTGTGCATGACCAGCAAGGAAAGGTATTTGGGGGTTTGGTGAACACCAACGATCCTTGGATAGAGGATCGCCCGAACCCTGCTGAACCCCCAGGAGCCCACCCCTGTAAAGCACTGTTTACAGTGCTTTACAGCCCACTCTAAGCGGTTTTCCGAGTCAACATAATGCCCCCAACAATCTGGGTCCTCATTTTACCCACCTCGGAAGGACAGAAGGCTGAGTCAACCTTGAGCCTGGTGACATTCCAACTGCCAAATTGCAGGCAGCCGGCAGTCAGCAGAAGTAGCCTGCAGTACTGCACTCTAACCACTGCGCCACCACGGCTCAGATCACTGTCTTTGTATGCCAGGCATGTGCAGTCAGCAGTAAAGAGGGTTGTTTTGAATGGCAGTGTGGAGGCTTTTTCATCTGTTCACAGGAAGATCAAAGAGAGAGCCATGCAATTGGTACCCGAGATATACTCCCTCCTTCAGATCCTGGACAATATGTGATCACATGCAGGTGAAGAACAGATCGAACAGTTCTGGGGCGCTAGCACACCATCCTGCCTCATCCCACAGGAAATGTTAAACGCAGCTGCCGTATCTTACAAGACATCGGGATCAACTGTGGGCAGCCTATTGAGTAGGTTGGAAAAGTGTCCAGCCTAAAGGTTTTCCCACAGTCTTTCCTGGTCTTTGATCAGGCTCAATCCATCCGATGACAGCGAGGGGGAGCATCCTGGTTTAGAAGGACCACAAACCAGGGTAGGTTTGATTTAAATCAAGTCATGTGATTAAATCATTAAATTAAATCATGTGATCTTTCCTTAAATCAATCTGGATGATTTCCTTAGGCTATCTTGTGAGGTGAGTGAGACTAGCTGGTATCTTTAAGTGGTGCAAATGGATCTAAGGATTGCTTCTCTTGGCTGTGCTCTTTTTGGAGAGCTTAAATGACCTCTCTGCTAAAGCGTTTCACTTTATGAGCAAGAGTTGGCCGCTGATAGTTATAATAGCATTTTAATTATTTTAATTCCTCAAGGTGGTCTGGCACCCTGCCTGATTTGTAACTCCACCTTGCAGGTATTCCTAATCTACTAATGATTGGTATTTAGGGCATCTTTTTGCAAGCAAAGAAGCTTTTTGTATTTTTGTACAGGTAATCCTTGACTTACAACAGTTTCATTTAGTGACCATTCAAAGTTACAATGGCACTGAAAAAAAGTGACGTGACTGTTTTTCACACTTACGACCGTTCTAGCATCCCCCTGGTCACAAGAGGCCAGGCGAGGTGAAGCTGCCCTCGATGTGAGTGATGTCGACTTGGCCATGCCTACCCAGTCACATGCCCGCCCAGCCACACCTACTCAGTTGGTAATTAGGGCAGAGAACTGGTTGTTAAATTATTTCAATCCCACCACTGGAGATAAGCAACCTAGAACTAAGAAGAAATTTCCTGACAATGAGAAAAATCAGTCTGTGGAACGCCTTGCCTCCAGAAGTTGTGGCTGCTCCAACACTGGAGGCTTGTAAGAAGAGCCTGGACAGCAGGGGTGGGTTCTAAATTTTTTTTACTACTGGTTCTGTGGGCGTGGCTTATTTTGTGGGTGTGGCTTGGAGGTCATGTGACTAGGTGGGCGTGGCTAGCTGGTCAGAGTCATTTCTGGAAGGTCCTCGCACTTACGACCCGACTCATTTGTTTGCTTTTACCACTGATCAGCTGTAGGGCGGCCCTTTGAAGCCCCGCGACAAGAGTTTAAACAGTTTTTTCCCCTCTAGTCATCAGCTGGGACTCAGGAGGCAGCAATAGATTGGGGGTGGGGCCAAATAAAAGGTAAGAATAATGTGGGTGGTGGGGTGGGAGGGTGGGGGGAGAACCGGTTCGGTGACGTCATATGGGCTGGCTTGAGCTAAATTTTAAATTGGTTTTAAATTGGGTTGTTTTAATTTACGGCCAGAATATCTAATTATTTTAATACTGTTTTTTAAATTTTGTATGTTTTGTTTTTACTTAGGCTGTGCACCGCCCTGAGTCCTATTTGGAGAAGGGCGGTATAGAAATTTAAACAAATAAATAAAATAAATAAATATAGTCACCGCTACTGGCTCGGCTGAACCGGACCAAACCAGGAGGAACCCACCACTGCTGGACAGCTATTTGGCTGAAATGGTATAGTGTCTCCTGCTTGAGCAGGGAGTTGGACCATCCCCACCCTATTGGCCTTCCGAAAAGCGGTGAAGACCTGGTTCTTCCGGCAGGCCTCGGGCCGTTGATCTCGCTGCTGCGATTTGGCAAGATCCGGCCATGAATGGTGTGAATGGGTTTTAATCGTTTTAAATGGTTTAACTTTTAATGTTTTATATATGGTTTTTAAATGCATTGCAAGCCAGCTTGAGTCTTCGGAGAAAGGCGGCATACAAGTTGAATAAAGAAACAAACAAACAAACAAACAAATAAATAAATAAATAAAATAAGACACCCAAGGCTCCCTCCCTCTTTCTCTCTCTCTCTCTTTCTTCTTTCTTTCTTTCTTTCTTTCTTTCTTTCTTTCTTTCTTTCTTTCTTTCTTTCTTTCTTTCTTTCTTTCTTGTCTCTCCCTTCTCTCTCTTCCTCTTCCTCTTTCTTTTCTTTACTTTCTTTCTCTCTTTCTCTCCCTTCCCTTCCTCCTTCCCATTCTCCTTCTAAGGCTAGGAGACCCACCTGAAACAAAAAGTCCTTTGGATGAAACTGGCCATTGCCATCCAGTTTATTCAACCCAAGACACACACACACACACACACACACACACACACACACAACGTCTATGATGTAAGATGCAAACTGCAAACTAACGAAAACTCTTTTTTTTTTTTTTTTTTGCAATACTTGTTTTTCTCAGCCCTAAGCCTCTCCCGATGTTTTCCTCTCCTTCGTCACAGCGCCGGACTGCAAGGAGGGACACTTTAGGCACGTGCGCTATCAAAGAGGATCCTAGGTGCTGCGCTCAATAGAGAAAGGGAGAAAGGGAGCTTCTGTCAGGAGGGAGAGACTAACGGCAGGCAAAGAAAAAAAGCGGTTTCCTTCCCTCACACTGGCCGCTCTGTTGCCATTTTCTCCATTTCAGTGCCGCGCCAGGGAGCATTATTATTATTATTATTATTATTATTATTATTATTATTATTATTAATTGGATTTATATGCTGCCCTCTCTCCAAAGGACTCAGGGCAGCTCACATCAAACTAAACAATCCCAATAAATACAAATTAAAACAGACTAAAACAGACTAAAAACCTATTGATTGATTGATTGATTGATTGTTGCGATTTATATGCCGCCTTTCTCCCGAGGGATTCAAGGCAGCTTACAAAATGACAATTTCCAATACAAATCATAACAAAATAAAATTAAAATCAACACCCCAATTAAAACAGCTTAAAATTATAACAGTGTACACCCAAACGGATCAGTTGAGTTGACGGAAGAGCCACGTCTTCAACTCGCGACGGAAGGAAAGGAGGTCGGGGGCTGCCCTGAGCTCGGTGGGCAATCCATTTCAGAGGGTCGGGGCTCCCACAGAGAACACTCTCCTCCTGGGGGCCGTCAGCCGACATTGTTTGGCCGACGGCACCCTGAGGAGACCCACTCTGTGAGAGCGCACGGGACGATGGGAGAGCGTCTTTAAAGCATCTCCCACCTACCACCGCCCAGGCTTTTGCTTCCCCCAAGCTGAAGGATGAGCGTTGCAGTGCCACGGAGCTTGCCCCGGCTGCCCAGATGCCCTCACTTTCCCCAAGCAGCATGAGGAGCATGGAGAAGAGAAGGCCGCTCTGGTTGTTGCCGGTTTCGCCATTGTAGCACCACGTAGCTTGCCCCACCCAAACTTCCCCCAAGCATTCCTTTGCCTACCTAATTTCCCCTCCATCATGTTTTCCCATCGCGCTTCTCACCATTATGTGCCAGAGAGCACAGCGTGGGATGCAGCCGAAGGCAGGAAAGCTGGCTGCCCCTCACAGACCGTGTGATTGAGGCAAGCGAGGGAGCCAGATGAAGAGCAGCAGCAGCTATCCCAGGCGAGCAATTGGACGAGATGAGGAGTGACTGAGCGGGGCAGGGCAGGGTGGGAGGGGCGGCACAGAATTTTAACAACTGGTCTGCCCGAACTAGCCTGAACCGGCTGAATCCCACCACTGGCCAAATGCCCAAATTTTGATATGCAATTGTGGGAATACTGCAATTGTTGAAAGTGTTAGGACCAGAAGTGGGTTTCAGCAGGTTCTGACCAGTTCTGGAGAACCAGTAGCAGAAATTTTGAGTAGTTCGGAGAACTGATAGTAAAAAATTCTGAGTGGCCCTGCCCCCATCTATTCTCTGCCTCCCAAGTCCCAGCTGATTGGAAGGAAATGGGGATTTTGCAGTATCCTTCCCCTGCCACGCCCACCAAGCCACGCCCACAGAACCAGTAGTAAAAAAATCTGAAACCCAACACTGGTTAGGACCATATCTTAGTCACTTTTTTCAGTGCTGTGGTACCTTCAGATGGTCACTGAACAAATGGACATATGTCGACAACGACCTGTAGTAGAACAATTTACCAGGGGCTTCCTCAACCTGCCATCCCTTTCCTGAAGTCTCCTGAAGATTGTATAGCTCTGTTTTAAGGAAATTTAATACTTTATCTGTTGACAAGATGGAGGAGAAGAGGCAGAAGACAAGAATTCCAGCAGCCCTCATGTTGGTAGAAGTCAACTCTGCTGCCTTTCCTGAAGCCACCTATTACTCAGCTTTGCAACCGGGGAAATGTTTTTGAAGAAGTAGCTGGAGGAGGTGGAATGTAGGATCCCAAACGATTGGCTGGCAGAGATAGTAAACTCAGGCAGAGCAGCAGCCAAATTTCATTAGGAAAGATAGTAGTTTTCTTAAAAGATATACACAAAATAAACTTTGCTGTGCAGTCAAATGGGGATTAGATTTCTTGTTTACTACATATCTACATCTTGCAAAGCTTAGATACAAACCCCCTTTCCCACATTTATGAAGAGCTCTAGATATCTCCTTAAATTCATTGTTTGGGGAGAAGGATGTGACAACAAAGAATGGAAGTATGCCAGAAGAAAAGGGTCTAAGAGTATAGCAGAATTGACTCCAGAATGGATGACAATAGAGGAGGGAATTGTAGTTTATCCAAGCTGTTTTCTTGTATGTGGTCAAACTTCCCTGCTCCAGGAGCTTCCCCTTGGCTAATGCCCAGCGAGGGAGAAATTGCTCTGCTACAAATGAGAGATGGGCGACAAGGGGGGTGCCTGAGTGATGTTCCAAAAAACTTTCCCTTACCCTTCTCCGGTATAAAGATTGAGGCAGTTTTACTCCACCCTAAGCCTAGGGGATGTTCCAGGCACTTTTTTCCAACCGCCTTACCTTCATGGACAGCTGCAGTGAGCAGAGAGGTACAAGCCCGGTTGTTAAATTACCCACCTCCCCCAGCTATCAAAGTGGATCCTGAGCACTGCACTGCAATGGAGAAATGGGAAATGGAGCGGCCGGCATTTATAAACCTTTATATTCATTTGAACTTCTGATTGTCTCATGCTTGACATACTTTCTCAGGTTACAGTTCTAGCTCGGACTTATATTTCTCTTATCTGACCATTGTCTTTGTCAGATGTAAATGCCTTATTCCCTAATGTGTAAATAATGTATATATGGGATATCAGGGGTTAACTTATTCTTTGTTTCTTAATGTATTCATAATTCACCACTCCTACTCTTGGCTCCACCCTTTGTATATATAAGGAGCCACCTTCGCCATTTTCCTTGCTTCTATCTGTGAATATTCAGTGAATATAGAATGCCTACTATAATTAAAGAGAAATATATTTGAATCTCTAACTCTAAATATTATTATTGAGTCTGATCTTAAAAATATTGCAACAGTCTTGTTATGGCTGTTCCTCTTGTTCACCCAGGTTATTCTTTCTGCCCATTACACCTCTAGACACAGTACATATCTTAAGAACTCTGCCACAGTTGCATTTTTTGTTTTTGTTTTTTTGCAATGGAAGATTTGTGATCAGAGTCCATTTTCATATTGTTCTGAATGTTTACATAGTGGACAGACATAGTTCCCTTGACCTGTTTACCAGCTACGGTGGAATGCTTTTCTCTGGATGAAGATTTGGCAAAACTCCATTTGCTTGGTAAATTGTCTGCTTGGGGCTCATATTTCTGTATCTGCCCCATTACTGTCTATGTTTCCTATAAACCATTCAGGAGTGTCGGTTGGATGGGCCCAAAAAAAGTCAAGATGGAGGCCAGAACATGATTCTAACCCCAAGACTTCAATTGCATTTTTCTCTTTCCTACGTGTTTCTCTAATTTAAAAAAAAAGCAAGAAAGATAAAGGAAGAAAGTTCTTCCATTCACATGTATATATGCCAAAACCTATATTTCCACACTGACAGGAGGGATCAGAAAGAGTTATTTTATTCAGAACCGCTTTGTTTATATAAATTCTAAATAAAAATGTACTGAATGCAGATTCCTTTGTCATATCAATTTATTTTTATGATGATTCTGTGGACTTTGAAGATCAAAAACACATATTTTATTGAGCTGTAGTCTCAAAGCATGATAATTCAACATCTTTGCCCCAAATTTCCAGCTTTCGCCTACTGAATAGTGAGACTACTTATCTCACTATTAAATCTGCAACTTTCCCATTTTTTACAAATTTCCCAATAATTGCAAAAAAAGGTTGCTCTTTCCCAACTATCACAGATGAACAGGTTCAAAAGAAGATGCATTTCTGCATTCCAGGATGGTGATATCGAAGTTGATCAGCCCACCAGCTATCGTAGAATTTCCTAGCGGGAGGGAACATACATTTGATGTCGCACATCCTTGGTAAGTGGACTTTTCGTTGTAATATCCAACTGGGGATAAGAAAAAGGTAGAAAAGGTGCATATGAGACTCTATAGCATAGACATTATAAAGCAATGCAGATTGTTCCTTTGCTATTTATTCTGTTTGGTTTTGATATTCTTGTGACCTTTATGGAACCATAAAGATCTTTGGAAAACCTGGTACAAATCTGGTTACTATATATTACCATAATAGATCATCTATTATGGTAGCCGTCGGCTAGACAATGCCGTCGGCTAGACAATGCCGGCTGGCGACTCCCAGGAGGAGAGCCTTCTCTGTGGTGGCACCTACCCTTTGGAACAATCTACCCCCAGAGATACGAGTGATCTCCGACCTCCGGACCTTTCGTCGGGCCCTAAAAACTCATCTCTTTCAGTTAGCCGGTCTCTCTTGATTTTATGATTTTATGGTTGGTTTTAAATTTTGATATGGATTTTAAATTGATAAATTTTAAACTATGGGCCAAATTTAATTATTTTAAATCTATTTTTAATCGTATTTATGTATACATGTTTTTATTTTGGCTGTTCACCGCCCTGAGTCCGAAAGGAGAAGGGCGGTATAGAAATTTGAATAATAAATAAATAAATAAATAAATAAATAAATAAATAAATAAATAAATAAATAAATCTAGCTTTATTTTTTTTAAAAAAATGGGGGGAGGGCGGGAGGGAGGGAGGGAAGGAAGGAAGGAAGGAAGGAAGGAAATGTCTACTCACAAGCATCTGTGACACTAGTTATTTCAATACAGTACTCTGTATTGCCAACACAGATTACAGTTTGATTGGCTTCACAAAAATCCTCATCTAGTGCAAAGCAGCCTGGGCACTGTAACTCATTTGGTTGAAGCTCATCATAATTTTCCACTGGAAGAAGCAAATATTCCAGTTAGCAAAGTTTCATGATAACCACTAACCTTTTAACGTCTATCAGAGCCTCCTCCAACTCGACATTCTTTTCACATACTTGGGTTCCGCTGCAGCTTTGATGGAATCAAGGAACCCAAGATTCTTTGCAACAAACAAGAGTTTAAAAAAAAGAAAAGAAAAGCTGGAGATTCAAAAGCATGTATTAAGCAGTGGTGGGTTCCTCCTGGTTCAGCCCAGTTCTGCGGAGCCAGTAGCGGTGACAATATGACGTCACCGAACCAGTTCTTTTTGTTCGGGAGCTGGGCCCTCCCGCCCCCCGCCCCCCGCTCCTTCCACCACCACCCCGCCTGCGTTATTCTTACCTTCTATTTCCTCCCGCACCGAATCTCCCCGCTGCCTCAGCTCGGCAAACTGATCGGCTAAAAGGAAAAAAAACTGTTTAAACTCTTGCTGTAGGGCTTCAAAGGGCCGCCCTACAGCTGATCAGTGTTAAAAGGCAGTGCGGTGGCAGACTAGTGTGCTCGGTCTACAAATGGGTAGACCGGAACGCTCCAAGAACAAATGGGTAGACCGGTACAGCTCTGCAAGCAGTTAAAAGCCTAGTAGATCAATACCTCTGCTAAATCCTAAAGAATTCTCACATGACCATCAAACCACGCCCACAAAAAAAAAGCCACGCCCACAGAACCGGTAGTAAAAAAATTTAGAACCCACCCCTGGTATTAAGGTGTAGATACTTACAATGAAGCGGTTCTGCATTACAGAGATCAGTCTGGCAACAGTTACCGCTAACTATTTGATATCTATCATCTACTGTTGTGGTGACGAAGACGCCATCAAGACAGTCCTCACATTCTGAACAACCCTTGACCATTACATACCCTGGAGTACTGGCTGCAGAAGGGAATTAAAAAAAGAAATATGGAACTCAGCAGCAAACGAAGAAATGCATATCAAACATGTTCATTTGGCTGTTGTATTTTGGAAGACATCACTAAATACTTGTGTTTATTTCACTTTATGAAATGTATATCCTTTTTGTTTAGGAGCTCATAGCACTTTCACTTGTTACTTTTCCCTATAAAGCCACTAAGGTTATTTGGGCTGTGAAAGTTTGACTGACCCAAACTATTGAGTGAACTTCCATGGCTGAGTCTCCCTGCTTCTAACCCAGCACATTTCCCACTGTATTAGTTCTTGGACCCGCAGAGAATAACTGGCCAGTGAAACTTCTGCAACTGAGGAAGGACAAGAATTTTGATCTTCTGGCTCCTAATATTAACCTGAACTAGCAAACCTCACTGGCTTTCACCAGTGACACCTTTGAAGATGTATTTATTCCCAAGAAACATATAAGCACAGATAACTGCCTTCTAACTCTGATGTTCTATGTTCTAATAAATATATACATATTATATAAAAAATGAGAAACATGTGCAGGTTATTCCTTTATGATGGTCCAGAAATCAAGTGATGGACAAAATCAATTTTCACTTACCTATAGTAGTATTAGCAACTAGAGTAAAGCAACATTTTTCATTTCTGTAGCACGACCTCATAGGATACATTTCACATTTAGTTCCAAAGGCAACACATGTTAGACACTTTAGAGATGTCACTACAAATAGAAGACATAATCACACCAATGATGAGAGTCACCTTTGTATGTTTTGCTATCCTAGCATTTACGTCCAAGATTCCTGTTATAATCCGGTTTACTAAGCATGTCTCCCCTATTGTTTTTTCTGTTGGGAACCTGTGGAAGAGTGGGAGATGAGATCGGATTGTGGAAATGGAAGAGAAATTGAGACTAAGGTAGAGATTCACCTTCTCAGACTTTTAACATTTTAATATAAAACGGGATCTTCCCATCTTTTGGTATTTATGCCCTAGACCAGTTTTGTGAATAAGCCATTTGGATCCTGGCTGAGGCTCTGCAAGAGCCTGAATTCTGAATGTCTATGAAGTCTGAATAATTGTTGATATCAGCCTTGGCTTTTGATTCCTGGGGATGCAGGATTTGGGCATATTATAGACGCATTGTGCCAATACTTTCTTCCTAGGGCTGAGATAGAGTCACCTGCCTAGTTTTTTGGCCCAATGGTCCAATGTCACTTGCCTAGTTTTTGTTTCTCATGAATGGATATATTCATAGCGTCCCATTCCTACTCCAAAACCTTCAGCCACTACACCAAATTGGCTCTCATGATACACTGAAGAGACAATCATTAATCCTGCATCCACTACATGTAGTCCTTGACGTAGACCACAATTGGGACTGGAGCTTTTGCCGCTAAGTAATATTGTTAAGTGAGTTGCCCAGTTTTACAACTATTTCATGGTCGTTAGTAACTGCACTCATTAAGTGAAGCACATGGTTATTCAGCAAATCTGCCTTCCCCCATTCTCGCTTCCGGTCAGGAAAGTCGCAGATGTCCAGGACGCTGCAACGGATATAAACTCATGCCAGCTGTCTAATGTCCAAATTTTGATACCTGGTTGTGGGAATACTGCAATTGTTGAAAGTGTTAGGACTATTTCCTCAGTCTGCCTGCCCTCCATCCCTTTCCTGAAGTCTCCTGAAGTTTCTACATCTCAGTTTGAAGGAAATTACATTCTTTACCTGTTGACAAGATGGAGGAGAAGAGACAGAAGACAAGAATCCCAGCAGGTCTCATGTTGGTAGAAGTCAACTCTGCTGCCCTTCCGGAAGCCACCTATTGCTCAGCTTTGCAACGGGAGAATGTATATGAAGAATTAGTGGGAGGAGGTGGAACATAGGGTCCCAAATGATTGGCTGGCAAAGATAGCAATCACAGGCTGGGCAGAAGCCAAATTAAATTAGGAAAGATTATGGTTTTCTTAGAAAATATACACAAAATAAACATCCCTGCAGGGGATGTGATTTCTTGTTTACTACATGTCTACATCTTACTCTGCTTTTTCTCAGGGGCTTAGTCTAGCTTCTAAAGCTGATTCTATATCCTACTATAATTCTCTATATCTGATTTGTATCCTTTGCCCCTCTCAACTCAGTTTCACCTTAATTCCTACATTCATTTATTTGGATCGTTTTGGACCTTTTTCTGATCCTACAGTTGTGCATAATATATATGTCAGTACTTTGTCATATATTAAGGATAAGTCTCTGAACATTTCCATTATTATATTTTTATTTTTGTAGACAGATTTCAGTTTCTGGCCCTTAGTTTCTATGACCGTGATGGCGAACCTATGGCACGGGTGCCACAGGTGGCACGCAGAGCCATATTGGTGGGCATGCGAGTGTTGCCCTAGCTCAGCTCCAGCGCGTATACGCGCACCAGCCGACTGATTTTTAGGCCTTCCGGTCCCACCGGAAGTTGGGAAACTGGCTGTTTCCGGCCTCCGAAAGGCCTCCGGGGGGGATGGGGAAGGCTGTTTTTGCCCTCCCCAGGCTCCTAGAAAGCGTCTGGAGCCTGGGGAGGGGGAAAAACGGGCCTACTGGGCCCACCGTGCCATCGCGTGCCAAAAGCAGGGGGAAGTGTGTGTGTGTGGGTCATGTGTGCATGCATGGGAGGGCGGGGTGCATTGAATTATGGATGTGGGCACCCGCACCCGCGACCCCCCACGCTACCCCCACTTTTGGCACGCGACGGCAAAAAAGTTAGCTGTCATTGTTCTATGACTTATTACTATATTTACTGATCTCCCACGCTATCTGTTAAGTTGGGTGATTGAAGAGACTGGAAACAGGCTTCAGACAACAGCTTTTTATTCAAGCAACTATGTACAATCCAGCAGCTTGCCCCTCTGACAGCTTGCCCTTATATAGGGAACTGTCAGGGACTTCAACCAATCACGTTTGAGTATTCTTCCAGCTCAAACAATGGACCTGAGCGAAAACCTTCAGGCTGTCAGTATCTAACACTATCTATAAGAAATAAAAATAAAAGTACAGTTATAATTTAAAATTACATGAAATGATACTTTGCTTCTTATGTTATAATTGTGATTACAATTCTTCCTGCTCTGGATTCAGAGATGCTATGTAACTAACTGACCAATCACCATTCTTCTTTTTCAATGAAGATTATAGAGATGATGATGAGGGACCAATTAAAGAATGGCTGAAATCTGGGCCATTTCAATTGGCTTCAGGCATGGGATGAAAATAGCTTTGGTCTTACAAGTGGATGGCCTTTGTCAAGATCTGTATTGGTGTAGTAAACCTGTCTTGGTCCTTTTGCAACTCTTTTTACAACCATTGTCCTCTACTGGACCAATTTTGAGGATGAGAAGTTGATTGAATGACTGATTTGCCCAGTGTTTCTATATCCTCCTTCACAAATATGGCCCTCAAAAGTAGAGAAAGAATCTGTGAAAAGACACCAGAAAAGAGCTGAAAGAGGAAGAGGAAAAAAATGCAATGAGGGATGGAGATCTGGGATACACAACCAGGACTAAGATACAAAACCCCTTTCCAACCTTTATGAAGAGCTCTAGATATCTCCTTAAATTCATTTTGTTTGGGGAGAAGGATGTGACAACAAAGAATGGAAGTATCCCAGAGGAAAAGGGTCTAAGAGTATAGCAGAACTGACTCCAGAATGGATGACAATAGAGGAGGGAATTGTAGTTTATCCAAGCTGTCTTCTTGTGTGTGGTCAAACTTCCCTTAGGAGAATACACAGACACAAATATTTTTGTCACCAAAATTTATTTGCTCTAAATATGATTTAGAGAAAATGGATTGTTTAGAGTAAGACCACATTCTCCTGAGCTAGCCTGCATCTCCAGTATTCTAAATTACTGTCAAATTCCCAAGAACGCTTAGCCCCAAACTATTGTAAATTCTTACCACTAAAGCTCCAATCTCCTTTCCACTTACAATTTTCAAATGCTAAGGGAAGAAGGGTGTCTGTCTATATCAGTGATGGCGAACCTTTCCAGCATTGGGTGTCCAAATCGGAATGTGTGTGCATGTGCCTGAGTGCTGGAAATTCGAAGGCCAGCTGGCCGGCATGGGCATACACACATAGGCATACACGGCATGGGTTTCCAGCGCTCCGGTGTAGCTAAAGACCAGCTAGAAGAAGAAGAAAACCAGAAGAGCAGCTGGCAGCAGCACGTGTGCCCATAGAGAAGGCGCTGTGTGCCAACTCTGGCACGCATGCCATAGGTTCAGCATTATGGATCTATATGTTAAAAAATATCTTATCAAGTGATTGTGAAGCAATGCTACAATTCTTTGAGATGACATTGAACTTTACAATGCCGTTGCCCATTTGTGTCTCTCCTAGAGGGTAGGAACATATATTGTTTGTTACCCATCCTTGGGTAAATGTCTCCTCATGAATAGCTCCAACTGTGGAAGAAAAAGAAAGAATAAAGATACATGAGGTTTGGTTATGAGACATTCCAAAACAATGATATTTTTTCTTCTTAACCTTAACCATTCTTAAAGAACGGTTGCAGGAATTGGGTATGTCTAGCTTAATGAAAAGAAGGACTAGGGGAGACATGATAGCAGTCTTCCAATATCTCAGGGGCTGCCACAAAGAAGAGGGAGTCAAGCTATTCTCCAAACCACCTGAGGGCAGGACAAGGAAGCAATGAATGGAAACTAATCAAGGAGAGAAGCAACCTAGAACTAAGGAGAAATTTCCTGACAGTGAGAACAATTAATCAGTGGAACAACTTGCCTCCAGAAGTTGTGAATGCTCCAACACTGGAAGTTTTAAGAAGATGTTGGATAACCATTTGTCTGAAGTGGGGTAGGGTTTCCTGCCTAGGCAGGGGATTGGAAGAGAAGACCTCCAAGGTCCCTTCCAACTCTGTTATTCTATTCGATTCTATTCTAACCCCCAAAGTAGCCACAAGGGAGCTATCCACCTCCCTCAAAGTAGCCATACAAAATAGTGAGGAAGCAATGGTCCTCTTGTCAGCCCTTCAAGGAGACCAGGCTAAGAACTCAAAATCATATATGTTATACCACTTTTATTAAAAAGTTATAGTAACAGAATCTTGCAAGAGGGAATGCACTTTCTCCTCCCCCCCCCTTGCTTCTGAGAACAAGGGAGGGTTTTGTCTGGGATGCTATAGGATAGAGTTCCCAACCTTTCTGGCTTTGTGAAACGGTGGGTGTGGGGGAGAGGGGATGGTTCTATGAGAGTGGCTGGCTCCATTTGTGCAAGCGGCTCCATTGTGCACCCATGCACACCACTTGCACAAATGGAGTGTGCATGCACACTTGCATGCTTCTCGGGCAAGTAGAGATGCATGTGCTTAACCGCCATTTCTTCAGCCTAGTTCCAAATGGCTCACGGTGCAATAGTGGGCCACGGCCCAGAGGTTGGGGACCCATGCAGCAGGAGATGGGCCAGGCTGAGTCCGAGGGAGGGGTCAAATGGGTCATCAGCAGTGGTGGGATTGAAATAATTTAACAACTGGTTCTCTGCCCTCTCTGGTTCTCTGGGTGGTCATGTGACTGGGTGGGCATGGCCAACTCAACATCACTCACATTGAGAGGTGCTTTGCCTCACCTGGCCTCTTGCCATGCCCGGCCCTGCCCCTCCCCTCCCCTCCACTCTTCGCCTGGCCTGAGAAGGTGAAGCCACGCTGCTCAAGAGAGCCCTGTTTCGGCACTGCAGAAACCATCCCCAAATGAACAGATATTTTCATGGACACCATCCCATACTAAATCTCAAGGAACATTTGCATCCTGGCTTCCAGAATTCCCAGCCAGGACAGGATTTGGGCTCCAAGCATCTAAAGACAGAGTTGGACTTTCTTCTTATCCCAGCAACCAAGCAGGTCTCCTCCCAATATCTTTAGTCAAGGAACAGATGACACCTCATCCCATCTGCTCCACCCCCTCTGGTTGTTAAAGGGAATCACATGGTCACTCAGCGAATCCAGTTTTCGCTATCGATTGCCTGTGGCGGCTGGCTGGGAAGGTTTCGGTGATAACATGAGCCAGGATGTTGCAACCATTGTAAATACATGCCAGTTGCCAAACATCCAAAGTTTGATCACATGATTATGGGGAATACTGTGAAATGTCATACAATGAATTAGTAGTCTATACATTTTCAGGCAAAAGGACATTGTACAACTCAGTGAGAAAGATTCCAAATGAAAATACATAAAACGATCAATATAATTTCTTAAGTATGGAAGACAGGAGGCATCAGAAAGAGCTATTTTATTCAGAATGCCTTTGTTTATATAAATTCTAAAGAAAAAGAATACTGAATGCAGATTCCTTTGTCATATCAATTCATTTTTATGATGATTCTGTGGACTTTGAAGATCGAAAACACATATTTTATTGAGCTGTGATCTCAAAGCATGATAGTTCAACATTTTTGCCCCAAATTTCCAGCTTTCTACAACTGACTTAGGTAAGAATCAAAAGCATCTGTTATTCCAATCTCTACTTATCTCACTATTAAATCTCAAACTTTCTCATTTTTTATGAATTTCCCAATAATTGCAAAGAAGGTTCGGCTCTTCCCAAGTATCACTAATGATCAAGTTTAGAAAAAGTTGCATTTCTGCATTCCAGGATGGTGACATTGAATCGAATCTGCCCATCAGCCATCTCAGAAAATCCTAGAGGGAAGGAACATAAATTCTGTGTCGTACATCCTTGGTAAGTGGACTTTTCAGTGTAATTTCCAACTGGGGATAAGAAAAAAGCAGAAAAGGTGCATATGAGACTCTATAGCATAGACATTATAAAGCAATGCAGATTGTTCATTTGCTATTTATATAGTTTGGCCTTGATGTTCTTGTGGCCTTTATATAAGCATAAAGTTCTTTGAAAAACTTGATACAAATCTGATTACCATATATTAATTGTTCCATAAAGTTTCTCCAAGTAGATCATCTTCCTTTATTTTTTTAAAAAAAGGGCAGGAGGGAGTGAGGGAGTGAGGAAGGGAGTGAGTGAGTGAGTGAGGAAGGAAGGAAGGAAGGAAGGAAGGAAGGAAGGAAGGAAGGAAGGAAATGTCTACTCACAAGCCTCTAGAGTACTAGTTATGGTAAGACACTGATCCTCATTGCCAGCGCAGATTACAGTTTGATTGGCTTCACAAGAATCCTCATCTAGTGCAAAGCAGCCTGGGCACTGTAACCCATTTGGTTGAAACTCTTCATAATTTTCCACTGGAGGAAGCAAATATTCCAGTTAGCAACGTTTCAAAGTTTCAGCTCGTCTGCCTGGAATCGGTTTTAATTGACATGAAAGCTGGGACATGATCAGGGAAGTAAATACAAGGATAGAGAAAGCTTGTACAGCATTCTTCAAAATAAAAAAGATCTTCTGCAATCGTGACATAAGCCTAAGACTGAAAATCAGGCTTGTCAGATGTTAAATCTTTTCTATCCTGCTCTACGGAGTACCGAGTTGGTCTCTGACAGAAAACCACTTGAAGAAACTAGAAGCACTTGAGATGTGGATTTACAGACGGCTGTTACATATAAACTGGGTTAACAAAATCACAAATGAGGGGGTGATAAGCCGCCTGGGAAAGAAAGGGAAATCATCAAAGCCATTAAAAAGCGAAAGTTAGAGTATTTTGGACATGAGATGCATCACCCAGAAAAATACAGCATCCTTCACTTAATCCTCCAGGGAAAAATTGAAGGCAAACGAGGCCCAGGCAGAAGAAGAACATCATGGCTTTAAAACCTAAGGGACTGGTTTGGACAAAACTCAACAGCACTTTTTCATATGGCTGTTGACAAAGAGAAGCCTGTATTCTGCACTGTATGTCGGATATTAATACAATTGAGAGAGTCCAGAGGTATTTCACAAGAAGAGTCCTCCACTCCTCTACTCACAACAGAATCCCTTATGCCACCAGGCTTGAAATTATGGGCTTGGACAACCTAGAACCGTGATGGCGAACCTATGGCATGGGTGCCACAGGTGGCACACAGAGCCATATCTGTGAGCACGCGAGTGCATGTGTGCGCCGGCCAGCTGATTTTCAGGCCTTCCGGGCCCACCGGAAGTCGGGAAACGGGCTGTTTCCAGGCCTCCGGGGGGATGGAGAAGGCCATTTTCGCCCTCTACAGACTCCTAGAAAATCTCTGGAGCTTGGGGAGGGCAAAAAATGGGCCTACCGGGCCCACCGTGTCATCACGTGCCAAAAGTGGGGGGAGAGCAGGGGGGTCATGCATGCATGCATGGGGAGACGGGACGCATTGAATTATGAGTGTGGGCACACACGCGTGCAATCCCCCCCACTCTGCCCAATTTTGGCACATGACGGCAAAAAGATTAGCCATCACTGACCTAGAACTACGCTGCCTATGGTCTGACCTGAGCATAGTAGACAAAATTAACTGCTACAATGTGCTACCTGTCAATGACTACTTCAACCGCAATAATACACGAGCACAGAATAGATACAAACTCAAGGTAAACCGCTCCAAACTCGACTGCAGAAAATACGACTTCAGCAACAGAGTGGTCAATGTCTGAAATGCTCTACCTGTTGTAACATCCCCAAATCCCCACAACTGTAACCTTAGACTGCCTACTGTTGACCTTATCCCATTCCTTAGTGGTCTGTAAGGGGCGTAAGTGCACCAGTGTGCCTACAATCCCTGTTCTACTGTATCCATTTATTTGTACCCATTTACTATGTTCGTATCTACGTTTATACTTATACCTGTTATCTCTTAAATGCTTGACAAAGCAAACAAACAAACAAACCACTAACCCTTTCAATGTCTATCACAGCCTCCTCCAACTTGACATTCTTTTCATATACTTGAGTTCAATTCCAGCCCAGATGGAATCAAGGAATCCAAGATTCTTTGCAACAAGTAAGAGTTTTAAAAAAAATCTAGAGTTTGAAAAGGATGTATTAAGGTGTAGATACTTACACAGGAACGGTTCTGCATTACAGACATCAGTCTGGCAACAGTTAGCTCTAGCTACTTCAAATCTACCATCTACTATTGAGGTGGTGTAGAGGCCATCAAGACAGTCCTCATGTTTTGAACAACCCTTGACCATTACATACATTGGAGTACTGGCTGCAGAAGGGAATTAAAAAAAGAAATATGGAACTCAGCAGCAAATGAAGAAATGCATATCAAACATGTTCATTTGGCTGTTGTACTTTGGAAGAAATCGCTAAATACCTGTGTTTATTTCACTTTATGAAATGTATATCCTTTTTGTTTAGGAGCTCATAGCACTTTCACTTGTTACTTTTCCCTATAAAGCCACTAAGGTTATTTGGGCTGTGAAAGTTTGACTGACCCAAACTGTTGAGTGAACTTCCATGGCTGAGTCTCCCTGCTTCTAACCCAGCACATTTCCCACTGTATTAGTTCTTGGACCCGCAGAGAATAACTGGCCAGTGAAACTTCTGCAACTGAGGAAGGACAAGAATTTTGATCTTCTGGCTCCTAATCTTAACCTGAACTAGCAATCCACACTGGCTTTCATGTAAATGTTGACACCTTTGAAGATGTATTTATTCCCAAGAAACATATAAGCACACCGGCAACTGCTGAATCTGGAGCTTTTGCAGAACGACGAATCTTGCATTGTGAGAAAGTAATGTAAGCTCCTTCTGTTTAGCTTGCAATTTGGGATGCACATTCAAAAGGGTAAAGTGTACATTGCTACATCAGGATGTGTGTTTCATCACTTGTCCTCTCTTGTCCCCATGCACATGTCAATTCACCTAAGTTTAAAAAATAACAAATAACATTGGCAAATAACATTGGACTTCTACTGTCCCTCAGTGAACCCCCAAGAGAAGTCGTTGAAGGAAAGTCACAAACCCAATCAAGTTTTAGCATAACCTAGATGCTAAATGTTAGTATTTTATTGTTGCTTGACAATGAAATGTGTGACATATGTCAGCAAAGATGTTGAGACTCTGGAAAGAGTGCAGAGAAGAGCAACAAAGATGATTGGGGACTGGAGGTTAAAACCTATGAAGAACGGTTGTAGGAACTGGGTATGTCTGGTCTAGTAAAAAGAAGGACTGGAGTGACACAATAACAGTGTTCTAATATCTATGCACGGTTACTCATGCGCTAGTTACTTCACGCATTGACTACTGTAATGGTTTCTACATGGGGCTGCCCTTGAGGACCACTCGGAGACTTCAACTGGTACAGAATGCAGCCGCGGAGGTTGTGATGGGAGGGTTCCAATACTCCCATGTTACACCCCTCCTGCGCGACTTGAATTGGTTGCCGGTTGTCCTCCGGGTGAGGTTCAAGATGCTGGTGATGACCTATAAAGCCCTACATGACTTAGGCCCAGGATATTTGGTGGACCATCTGCTGCCAGCAACAGCTGCCCATCGCCCGGTGTGTTCTCACAGGGAGGGCCTGCTCCGGGTGCCGTCAGCTAGACAGTGTCGCTGACAACCGCCAGGGGTAGAGCTTTCTCTGTGGGCACGCCCACCCTTTGGAATCAACTTGCCCTGGGGCTCCGGTTGGCTCCTGACCTTCGCACCTTCTGCCGCGAATTAAAAACATGGTTGTTTACATCGCCCAGCCTGGACTGAGAGGGTTTTTAGATTTGGGGTTTTTTAATATAAATTATATATTATGTATTTTATATTTTTAACTGGTTGTTTTATTGTTGTGAGCCGCCCTGAGTCTTCGGAGAAAGGCGGCATACAAGTTGAACAAATAAATAAATAAATAAATAAATTTGAGGGGCTGCAACAAAGAATAAAGAGAAATTTCCTGAAAATGAGAAAAATCGGTCAGTGGAATGGCTTGTCTCCAGAAGTTGTGGGTGCTCTAACACTGGAAGCTTGTAAGAAGAGACAGGACAGCTATTTGGCTGAAATGGTATAGTGTCTCCTGCTTGAGAAGGGAGTTGGACTAGAAGACCTCCAAGGCTCCTTCTAACTCTGATCTTCTATGTTCTAATAAATATATAAAAATTATATAAAAAATGGGAAACATCTGCAGGTTATTCCTTGATGGTCCAGAAACCAAGTGATAGACATGCTTGAAAACAAACTCAATTTTCACTTACTTATAGTAGTATTGGCAACTACAGTAGAACAAAATTCTTCCTCTTCCTTACACTCCACCACCTTCACACCATCTCCTTCACATTCAGTTTCAAGGGTAAAACATTTTTGACACTTTAGAGATGTCACTACAAATAGAAGACATAATCATGCCAATGATCAGGGTCACCTTTGTATGTTTTGCTATCCTAGCATTTACGTCCAAGACTCCTGTTATAATCTGGTTTACTAAACATGTCTACCCCTGTGGTTTTTTCTGCTGGGAACCTGTGGGAGAGTGGGAGATGAGATCGGATTGTGGAAATGGAAGAGAAGTTGAGACTAAGGGAGAGATTCACCCTCTCAGACCCCTAACATTTTAATATGAAACAGGATCTTCCCATCTTTTGGTATTTATGCCATGGACCAGTTTTGTGAAGAAGCCATTTGGATGTTGGCTGAGGCCATTTTTCTGCAAGAACCTGAATTCTGAATGTCTATGAATTCTGAATAATTGTTGATATCAACGTTGGCTTTTGATTCCTGGTGATGCCGGATTTGGGCACATTTTAGATGTGTTGTGCCAACTCTTTCTTCCTAGGGCTGAGATAGAGTCACCTGCCTAGTTTTTTGGCCCAATGGTCCAATGTCACTTGCCTAATTTTTGTTTCTCATGAATGGATATACTCATAGTGCCCCATTCCTACTCCAAAATCTTCAGCCACTACACCAAATTGGCTCTCATGATACTCTGAAGAGACAATCATTAATCCTGCATCCAGTACATGTAGTCCTTTAACTTCAGATGGGCACTGTACAAATGGACAAATATGTCGAGAACGACTTGTAGTAGAACAATTTACCAGAGGCTTCATCAGTCTGCCTGGCCTCTATCCCTTTCCTGAAGTCTCCTGAAGTTTCTACATTTCAGTTTTAAGGAAATTACATTCCTTACCTTTTGACAAGATGGAGGAGAAGAGACAGAAGACAAGAATTCCAGCAGCCCTCATGTTGGTAGAAGTCAACTCTGCTGCTTTTCCTGAAGCCACCTATTGCTCAGCTTTGCAACTGGGGAAATGTTTTTGAAAAAGTAGCTGGAGGAAGTGGAATGTAGGATCGCAAATGATTGGCTGATAGAGATAGCAAATTCAGGCAGGGCAGAAACCAAATTCCATTAGGAACGATAATGATTTTCTTAAAAAAACCACACAAAATAAACTTTGCACTGCAGTCAAATGGGGATTAGATTTCTTGTTTACTATATGTCTATATCTTACTTTGCTTACTCAGCCCTGCTTTCTAGGGCTCGGATAGAGTCACCTGACTAGTTTTTGGCCTAATGGTCCAACGTTTAGCTTCTAAAGCTGATTTTATATCCTACTATAATTCTCTATATCTGATTTGTATCCTTTGCCTCTCTTGACTCTGTTTCACCTTAATTCCTACATTCATTTATTTGGATCGTTTTGGACCTTTTTCTGATCCTACAGTTATGCATAATATATATGTCAGTACTTTGTTTTACATTAGTGATAAGTTTCTGAACATTTCTATTATTATATTTTTATTTTTGTACACAGATTTTAGTTTCTGGCCCTTAGTTTCCATGACTTATTACTATATTTACTGATCTCCCACTCTATCTATAAGAAATAAAGATTAAAGTACAGTTATAATTTAAGATGACATGTTACAATAGTTTGCTTCTTATGTGATTATAATTCTTCCCACCCCAGATTCGGAGGTGCTATGTAACTAACTGACCAATCATCATTCTTCCTTTTTCGATGAAGATTATTGAGATGGTGATGAGGGACCAATTAGAGAATGGCTGAAATCTGGGCCATTTCAATTGGCTTCAGGCATGGGATCGAAATAGTTTGGTCAAACAAGTGGATTGCCTTTGTCAAGATCTATATTAGTGTAGTAAACCTGTCTTGGTCCTTTTACAACTCTCCGTGATGTTGGAAAGAAAAGTCAACATGGTGGCTTCTCCCTTGTGTGATGCCTCAAGAGGTAGTCCTCTGTCCTCTATAGTTAGATCTGTACATGGAACTTAATTTAGGATTTGGTACTCTCAATATTTTGTTAAGATTTAGAACTAGGTCAAATGTGTCATCAGCAGTGGTGGGATTGAAATAATTTAACAACCGGTTCTCTGCCCTAATGACCGGCTGGGTAGGCATAGCTGGGTGGTCATGTGACTGGGTGGGCGTAGCCAACTCAATGACACTCACCTTGAGAGGTGCTTTGCCTCATCCGGCCTCTTGCCACGCCCCTCCCCGCCACGCCCCTCCCCTCCCCTCCACTCCTTGCCTGGCCTGAGAAAGTGAAGCCACGCTGCTGGAGAGTGCTTCATTGTGGACAGACAGCTAGCGCTAGCTGGGTCCCTTACCGCAGCCAGGCTGATATGCAGCTGGTCCAGCTTCATGCCTTGGTAGTACAGGGGTTTAAGGCACCCTGTTATTAAGCTGGTTATTAAGACCAGCTGCCTGCAATTACTGCAGGGTTCGAATCTCGCCAAGGCTCAAGGTTGACTCAGCCTTCCATCCTTTCTAAGGTAGGTGAAATGAGGACCCAGTTTGTGGGGGCAATAAGCTGACTTTGTATAAATATACAAAAGGATGAAGGCTATTGCAAGCCGCCCTGAGTCTTCGGAGAAGGGCGGCATATAAATCAAATTAAAAAAAAAATGCCTCTATTCATGTGTTAGTAGAGAAAGAAGCTGTAAAAAGACACTGGAAAAGAGCTGAAAGAGGAAGAGAAAAAAAATGCAGTGAGGGATGGAGGGCACCTCCTTGAGATCTGGGATACACAACCAGGACTTAGATACAAAACCCCTTTCCAATCTTTTTGAAGAGCTCTAGATGTTAAATTCCTAGGCAAGGGACTGGTGGCTCAGCAGACTGATAGCATTGTGATTAGCACCAGCTGTCTGCAATTCCTGTAAGTTCGAATCTCACCAGGCTCAAGGTTGACTCAGCCTTCCATCATTTCTAAGGTAGGTAAATTGAGGACCCAGATTGTGGGGGCAATAAGCTGACTTTGTATAAATATACAAAAGTATGAAGGCTATTGCTTAACGCATTGTAAGCCGCCCTGAGTCTCCAGAGAAAGGCGGCATATAAATCTAATTTAAAAAAAAAAATCCAACCAACGGGGTTGCGACAAGGACTGAGGCGAGACAGAGATTCAACAGCTAACATTTATTGAACGAGTGCAACTTCACAGCAATAGTCAGCAACAGAACAGAACGCGCCCGTTTGACAGCTCTTTTATACGCTGCTGTCAAACGGGCAACCAATCAGAAAGAAGTTGGGAGCCATTCATTCCTCTAGGGCAGTGTTTCTCAACCTTGGAAGCTTGAAGATGGGTGGACTTCAACTCCCAGAATCCCCCAGCCAGCAGCGCCATAGTAAAAACCATGACGATTGGTTTTTACTATGGCCACTCACTGAAAAATTGTCTTTTTGTGGATTCAAGGGAGAAACATTGTTTTTTGATCCCAGAGATACTTTGATTCAAACACTCTGGTTTGATCCTCCTCTACAACAACTCCCTTCCCTTGCAATCTCCAACACAATTCTGCCCAGTGTCTCTATATCCTCCTTCACAAATATGGCCATCAAAGTAGAGAAAGAAGCTGTGAAAAGACACCAGAAAAGAGCTGAAAGAGGAAGAGGAAAAAAATGCAATGAGGGATGGAGATCTGGGATACACAACCAGGACTTAGATACAAAACCCCTTTCCCACATTTATGAAGAGCTCTAGATATCTCCTTAAATTCATTTTGTTTGGGGAGAAGGATGTGACAACAAAGAATGGAAGTATCCCAGAGGAAAAGGGTCTAAGAGTATAGCAGAAATGACTCCAGAATGGATGACAATAGAGGAGGGAATTGTAGTTTATCCAAGCTGTCTTCTTGTGTGTGGTCAAACCTTCCTTAGGAGAATACCCAGACACAAATACTTTTGTCACCAAAATTTATTTGCTCTAAATATGATTATTAGAGTAAGACCACATTCTCCTGAGCTAGCCTGCATCTCCAGTATTCTAAATTACTGCCAAATTCCCAAGAACGCTTAGCCCCAAACTATTGTAAATTCTTACCACTAAAGCTCTAATCTCCTTTCCACTTACAATTTTCAAATGCTAAGGGAAGAAGGGTGTCTGTCTATATCAGTGATGGTGAACCTTTCCAGCATTGGGTGTCCAAATCGGAATGTGTGTGCATGTGCCTGAACGCCAGAAACTCGACATTGGCATGCATGCCAACCAGCTGATTTTTGGGTTTCCGGCGCTCCGGTGTAGCCAAAGACCAGCTAGAAGAAGAAGAAAACCAGCCCCTTTCTAGATCGGGACTCCCTACGCACAGTCACTCAGGCACTCGTCACTTCCCGCCTGGACTACTGCAACGCTCTGTACATGGGGCTCCCCCAGGGGTGCACCCGGAGGCTCCAGCTGTTCCAGAACGCGGCCGCGCGGGGGATTATGGGGGCAACGAGGCGCTCCCATGTTACACCTCTCCTGCGTGAGCTGCACTGGCTCCCGGTGGTCTTCCGGGTGCGCTTCAAGGTGTTGGTGACCACCTTTAAAGCGCTCCATGGGTCAGGGCCGGGGTATTTACGAGACCGCCTTCTGCCACCAATAGCCTCCCACCGGCCAGTACGCTCACACAGAGTGGGCCTTCTCAGGGTGCCGTCCGCCAGACAATGTCGGCTGGCGACCCCCAGGGGGAGAGCCTTCTCTGTGGCGGCGCCCACCCTCTGGAACAACCTCCCCCCAGAGATACGTACAATAACAGACCTCCGGATTTTTCGTCGGGCCCTGAAAACCCATTTATTTCAGCTAGCTGGGCTGGCTTGAGTTAAATTTTAAATTGATTTTAAATTGGGATTTTTAATTACGGCCAAAATATTTAATTATTTTAAACAGTTTTTAGATTTTGTATGTCTTGTTTTTACTTTGGCTGTTCACCGCCCTGAGTCCTATATTGGAGAAGGGCGGTATAGAAATTTAAACAAATAAATAAATAAATAAATAAGAGCAGCTGACGGCAGCACGTGTGCCTACAGAGAGGGCTCTGTGTGCCACCTCTGGCACACATGCCATAGGTTCACCATCATGGCTCTATATGTTAATGGATCTAGAATGGATGACAATGGAGGAGGGAATGGTAGTTTATCCAAGCTGTCTTCTTGTGTGTGTTCAAACTTCCCTTAAGAGAATACACAGACACAAATACTTTTGTCACCCAAATTTATTTGCATTATGATTGAGAGAAAATGGATCGTTTAGAGAAAAACCACATTCCCCTCAGCTGGCTTGCACCTCCATATTCTAAATTACTGCCAAATTCCCAAGAATGCTTAGCCCCAAACCACTGTAATTCTTACCACTAAAGCGCCAATCTCCTTTCCACTTTTACAATTTTCAATTGCTAAGGGAAGATTTTCAATTTTCAAATACTATATGGTAAAAAACATCAGGTAATTGTAAAGCAATGCTACAATTATTTGAGGTGACATTGAACTTTACAATGCCGTTGCCCATTTGTGTCTCTCCTAGAGGGTAGGAACATACATTCTTTGTTACACATCCTTGGGCAAATATCTCATCATGAATAGCTCCAACTGTGGAAGAAAAAGAAAGAATAAAGATACATGAGGTTTGGTTATGAGACATTCCAAAACAATGATATTTTTTCTTCTTAACCCCCCCAAAGTAGCCAGAAGGGAGCTATCCACCTCCCTCAAAGTAGGTATACAAAATAGTCATGAAGCCACGGTCTTCTTGTCAGTCCTTCAAGGAGACCAGGCTAAGAACTCAAAATCATACAAGGCTGGGGTGAAATGTAAAATTTGTTACTACCGGTTCTGTGGGCGTGGCTTGGTGGGGGGGGGAGTAATGTGACTGGGTGGGCGTGGCCAACTTTAAAAAAAAAAAAACTTTTCAAAGCATTTTTTCTAATGCTTTGAAAAGCCTCTGCCAATCAGGAAACTCAGCTGGGATGTCAGAGAGGCTTTTTTAAAAATACCTCTTTGCTGATCAGGAAACTCAGCTGGGATCATCAGAGACTCTTCAAAGCGGAACTTTTGAGTAGTTCGGAGAACCGGTAAATACCACCTCTGACTGGCCCCACCCCCATCTATTCTCTGCCTCCCGAGTCTCAGCTGATTGGTAGGGAATGGGGATTTTGCAGTAACCTTCACCTGGAGTGGAGAGGGAATGGAGATTTTACAGTAACCTTCACCTGGAGTGGAGAGGGAAGGGAGATTTTACAGTATCCTTCCCCTGCCACGCCCACCAAGCCACGCCCACCAAGCCACGCCCACAGAACCGGTAATGAAAAAATTTGAATCCCACCACTGGTTCAGGAGTGTCAGTTGTGTGGACCAAAACAGTCAAGATGGAGGCCAGAACATGATTCTAACCACAGGACTTCAATTGCATTTTTCTCTTTCCTACGTGTTTCTTTAATTTAAAAAAAAAAACAGCAAGAAAGATAAGGGAAGAAAGATCTTCTACTCACATGTATACATGCCAAAATCAATATTTCCACACCAATTCTCTCTGCCAAGACAGAGAACTGGCTGAGGTGGTTGGGGAGAATATTCATCTCTTGCATACGATCCTGGGCATATCAATCGATTGGGTTTAAGTTCCTCATGATACGGCACTGCAGAAACCAACCCCAAATGAGCAAACATTTTCATGGACACCATCCCATATTAAATCTCAAGATCTTTTGCGTCTTGGCTTCCAGAATTACCAGCCAGGACAGGATTTATAATGCAAGAGTCTAAAGGCAGAGTTGGACTTCCTGCTTATCCCAGCAAACAAGCAGGTCACCTCCCAACTTCTTCAGTCAAGGAACAGATGACACCTCATCCCATCTGCTCCACTCCTATCCATTACAAATGTACTCTGATGCATGTTCTGAAGTTCCCCTTCAAAATGGTTGTTTTAACTCTGGACCTATATTAAGCCTTATTTCATCTATTTCATCCTGGGTTGTTGGACCGCCATGTTCTCCAATTATAGGTAAAGGTAAAGGTTCCCCTTGCACATATGTGCTAGTCATTCCTGACTCTAGGGGGCGGTGCTCATCTCCGTTTCAAAGCCAAAGAGCCAGCGCTGTCCGAAGACGTTTCCGTGGTCATGTGGCTGGCATGACTAAATGTCAAAGGCGCACGGAACGCTGTTACCTTCCCACCAAAGGTGGTCCCTATTTTTCTACTTGCATTTTTTATATGCTTTCGAACTGCTAGGTTGGCAGAAGCTGGGACAAGTCACGGGAGCTCTTCCTGTTATGCGGTTCTAGGGATTCGAACTGCTGAACTGCCGACCTTTCGATCGACAAGCTCAGCGTCTTAGCCACTGAGCCACCACGTCCATTCTACAATTATAGAAAGCTCCTATTTTTATTACCTTATATTTGACCCAGCAATGGCTTGCTCAACTAATGAACTTTCCTCACCCCTTCCCTCCTTGAGGTTTGTTGCTCCATTCAAATTTTATATCTCCACGGTATGTGTGTGTGTGTAGAATAGAATAAAATAACATAATTGGAAGGGATCTTGGAGCTCTTCTCTTCTAGTCCAACTCCTGCTTAGGCAGGAAACCATATGCCCTTTCAAACAAATCGTTATCCAATCTCTTCTTTAAAACTTCCAGTGTTGGAGCATTCACAACTTCTGGAGGCAAGTTTCATGTGTGTGTATATGCAGAAGTCCTCTTGCATTCTGCTCAGGCTGAGTGAAATCTGCTCCCCCTTACTTTCTCACTCCCTGCCCACAATACTGTAAAGTTTAACCTTCTCAGCCCTTCTGCAAGGAAACATTGAGTTGAATTACTTACAACTGGAAGGCAGGCTATTGCAACCATCTAACTGGCAACTGTAAAGAAGGGCTTCAAAGTATTTTGCCCCAACAGAAGTGATACTGTAATAACCATCATTGGCTTCCTCGGGCTTTGCACAAGTCTTAGTAGTGTAACCGACTGAAGGAATGCCTGTGAAGAGATGAAATGTTGGGATGTAAGAAAAATGAATATATATATGTATATATATATTTACAAAGCAGTCTGTTTATTTAACTATTTAATTGGAGATCCCTGGTATTAATGGTTGTTAGCTGTTGGAAAGATTACTGTATTTTTTGGATATAGGATGCACCGGAGTATAAGTGCACCAAAATTAAACAAGATTTTGGAAAACAATAATAAAAAAAAGGTTTTGCCCTCCCCAGCCCCCAGGACCACTCTGCAGGCCTCCCAAGCCCCCTGCGCGTCCCGTTTTTGGCCTCCCAAACCCCCCACATGTTGCTTTTTTGCCCTCCCCAGCCCCCAGGAGCACTCTGCAGGCCCTGTTTTTGTGAAAAACAGGCCTGTTTTTGGCGAAAATGGGACATTTGGGGCGGTGTTTCAGGAAGCCAAAAATGAGAGGCTTCAACTTGATTTCCTCCATTTATCACAGATATGAAGAAACAATTTACTTTGATTGGTGAACTTCTGGAAAACTCTTCTCTACAGTTAGAAGGAACATTTGATCTCTTTCTTTTCTCCCCTCAGTATTTTCCATGTACATGACAGCGCAAGAGAAAAGAACATTTCTCTACATAATATTCCTAATAAACACACTCCACTGAAAATGCCAGATTACATTGAGATTAGTTACAGCCAATGGTATATCATCCACCTTCAAGAAAATCGAATTTTCCCTTGAGATGATAATGTTCTCTGACACCTAAATTGAAAAGATGCTTCACTCACTGAAAGTGGTACGGAGAGTAAAGGAAATGCAATATGTTTCATCTGCTTTGCACTCCACCAATGTCATGTCTTCATTTCTACATTGTCCATGGGTGATAAAACAGGTATAGCATTTTAGAGATGTTACTGCAGAGGACAGAAGTAAAAGGATTACAGATCTACAGAGAGCCAACCAAATTATGTACTCATTAATTAAACCCCCCTTTATTGATGTTCAAGATTAATATCATATTTTTTCTGTAACCTCGTTCCATTTGGTTAACCTCATTCAAATTTAACAAGGGAATAACGTGTTAGAAATTGTCAGACATTATCAAGAGAACCTCCTAGGGTTTTTCCCAACCTTGAGGGTGTATTTCTTGAGAATTATGGCCCTTGAAATCCTCCCCAGTGCAATGGCTTGGGCTGGGAAAGTCTAATTTAAAGGTAAATATGTTTTGGAAGACTCTCTCTGACTCTGGTCACAAAACAGCAGTCACCAGCAGTCACCTCCACATTTCTGTACCCCCACATCCTCCCTCCATCTTTGGTGGCATAATTGGATGTCTGTCACATGTGAAACCATGTTCAAGAATATGTATCTATTGAGAGGCATAAATATTTAGACACATTAAAAGCAGCAAAAGACTTGTATAATGTTCTAGTAAAGTTCTATTCATGTTGTGACCCTGGACCAAGGACAGTTAACATAAACCCAATCTGTCAGGACTACCATCTTCAGCTTGGCACCCCAAAGGCTAGAGGGGAGGGAGGACAAATGGGCAATAAGCATGTGTGGGGTTGTGATGGGAATTTGGAAAGGGGATTGACAGTTTGGCGAAGACCAGAAGGGCATGAAACCAGTTTGTGCCAGCTCTCAAGGCCATGCGCCCTGGAAGATTGGAATGCTGACTACTTCAAACATCTCAGCATTCTCAAAACACCTAAAGGCCTCTTCATTGACTGAAGATGAACTGGTCATGGGGGGAGAGGGCTGGGATGAGGGGAACAATCTATAACCTTTCCACATGGGAAATTTAGTACTTGCCTGACTTTACTGCAGCCAGCAGCCTTTAGTAAAAGAATCTATTACTATGTTTCCCCAAAAATAAGACCCTGTCTTATATTTTTTTGAACCCCAAAATAAACGCTTGGCCTTTTTTTCGCGGAAGTCTTATTATTTTGAGGTGCGTGGAGCAAGATGGGGCTCCTCTTGCCGTCTTACCTGATTTCCAGCTCTGCGTTTAAATATTTTCGGGGAGGGCTTATTTTCGGGGGGGGAGGCTTATTTTAGTGCAGGCACTCAAAAGCCCAATTGGGCTTATTATCAAGGGATGTCTTATTTTGGGGGAAACAGCGTACTTCAACCAAATGGAGTCGAGGGTCTTTCTTTCTAAGGGACCTGAATAGGGCAGGTCTGACACAAGCATTGTCTTTCTAGGGAGGAGGAATGGAAGAGATTCCATCCATGTAAAAAGAGATTGCAATGTAAACATTGAGGCTTATAGCAGGAAGGATATTACAAGTGTGAAATTATAGCCAGGAGGTTGGTACAGTATGTTCTCAGTTCAAAATATTCCAGAGGAAGAAAAGCAGTATAATTGAATTAAACCTTTTGTCTTTTTGTATGCAATGTAATTAACCAAATGATTATAGGTAGTCCTTGACTTACAACTGCAATAGATGTTTTGACTTACAACTGCAATAGATGTGGCCTAGTCCAGGGGTGAAATGCTCCCGGTTCGGACCGAATTGCCGATCCGGTAGCGATGGTGGCGAGTGGTCAGGAGAACTGGTAGCAAAAATCCCTGCCCTCCCACCATGCCCAGCTGAGCCGCACGATCATCAGAGGCTTTTTTTTTTTTTACTTTTAAAAGCATTTTTTCTACAATCTCTTCGTCTGAAAAAATGCTTTTAAAAGTAAAAAAAAAAGTGTCTGATGATCGCGCAGCTCAGCTGGGATCGTCAGAGGCTTTTAAAAGCATTTTTTCTGCAACATCTTCAGCCGAAGAGATTGTAGAAAAAAAATGCTTTTAAAAGCTTCTGATGATCCCAGCTGAGTTGCCTGATCGTCAGAGGCTTTTAAAAGCATTTTTTCCTGCAACATCTTAAGGTTGTAGAAAAAATGCTTCTAAAAGTAAAAAAAAAAAGTTGGCTAGGCCCACCCAGTCACATTACCCCACCACCAAACCACGCCCACAGAACCGGTAGTAACAAATTTTACATTTCGCCACTGGCCTAGTTGGCCTCCTGCACCACAGCGGGGGGGGGGCATTTTTGCCCTCCCCGGGCTCCGGAGGCTTTCCTTGAGCCTCTGGGAGGGTGAAAAGAGCCTCCCCAGGCTCCGGAGGCTCTCTGGAGGCCAGAAACGGGCCCAAACTTCCCAAACTTCCTGAACTTCTGGTAGGCCCATTTTTCATCCTCCCCAAGACTCCGCGCATGCCCTGCACTTATCTGCATCCAAAACGGGCCGCGTGGGGACTTCTGGGAAGGGCGGGGCAAGGCCAGCCAGGAGTGAGATTTGGGGGTTCTCTGAACTGCACAGAATCTTAGCTAGAGGTTCTCCCAAACCTCTGCAAACCCCCAGCAGCCCACCCCTGCTGCTATCATGTCACCTGTAGCCTTTCTTTTCATTAGAATTAGACATACCCAATTCCAGCAACTGTTCTTTATACATTTTACCCTCCTGTCCCCTAAGAATCTCACATCTATCTCCAAATGACTTTTCTATTTTATCAAGCTGGCCTGGCCTAAATCTTCCCTCTTTTTAAATGTGGAAATTTTAAATTTTAAATTCGTCTTATTTATAGGGTCATGGGTAAAGCGTTTTAAATTGGGGAGCCATTTTGGATTTAATTCTGTTTTAAACGTATTTTAATGTTTATATTGTATGTTTTTTAAATTTTGGCTGTTCACCGCCCCGAGTCCTTCGGGAGAGGGGGCGGTATAAAAATCTAATAAATAAATAAACAAACAAACAAATAAATAAATAAATAAATAAATGCTTTGATTTCTAGTGTAAGTGAGCAGTTTTTCTCACAACTCATCCCAGAATTTATTTATTTATTTTTTTTAAAAAAAGAGAGAGAAAGAAATAGCCAAAGATTTTTGGAGGTATGTTAGCAATGATCCACCTGTCCAGGTATGTGCCTTTCCCCACGTAAGAAGCTTCTCTCCACAACCTCTCTAGCATCTCATGTTGAATAGCAATACTCACCACCTGTCAGTAAGACTGAAGAGATGAGACCGAAGAAGACAAAAAGGCTGGGAGCCATTGTGTGTGGAGAGCAAGTCTACTGCCTTCCTGAAACCAACTATCAAATGCACTGGGCTTTATAGTGATTTGGGTGGGTCTCCTGTGGGGTGTTTTGGAGCAATTTCTTCTAGTGGGTGGCATGGAAGATATGAGTGATCACTGAATCCCACGTAGAGAAATATCAATTTGCACAATAAAAAATGGGAAAAAGGGCAACGTCAATGGAGAACCAACAAGTTGGTTGAGGCTTGTTGGGATTATCCATAACTCAGTGTGTTTTCTAAGTTAAGCAACAATTTATTCTGATTGTAACTGGGTTACTATAGAGCAGGGGTGTCAAACTCGATTTCATTGAGGGTCGCATCAGGGTTGATTTTGACCTCAAGGTCAAACAGGCCCGTTTCCGGACTTCTGGAACCTCTGGTAGGCCCGTTTTTTACCCTCCCAGACCCTCTGCATGGCCCCTGC